GAAAAATTCCAGAAAATTACAGAACAATTCTAGAAAATAAAGAAACCATAATTAACTCTCTTGGGTCACGAATCCACCTATAGATTGATTTTAAAATATACATAACACCTATATATATCAATTAAAATCCAATAATCTAAAAATCAAATATAATAGTTTATACTTTTTAATTATTCCGATCTAACCATAATTTTTAAACAAATAAATTTAATTAAAGCCTTGATACTCAAGGTAAAATCCTTATGAGTTCTAAGAGGAAAGTTAGAGAAAACTCGCCTGAAGGTTTCGAAACGAAACCGACGCTTTAAACTTTAATTATCTCTTCCAATTCCGACGTCCTCCTTTTCAGATCCGACCTCCTCCTTGTCAACCCTTCTTCTTCCTCTCTCTCTGTCTGTTTTATTTTTCTAACGTGTAAAACCTTTAACCCTAAAGCCTTATGTGTATTTTTATACACCTTAAATTCCAAATCCTATTCCAACTAGTATTATGAATTAAAATAATAACCTTTAAATAATTTATATCTATAAACATATATTATATTACACATATATATATATATATATAAATATATATTCCTTCCATAATTAACCCATTAGTTAATTAAATCATATATACATATATATATCAATAAATATATATATCTATACATAAATCTTTCCATAACAATTATGAATTAATTATATTTATATATAATTATAAATATATATATATATATATATATATATATATATTTATAATTAATACAAAAGTGATCATTTAAATAATTAAATAACCACCGGCCTTCATTAAGTAATCCAATAAGGTTTCATACAAACCCAAGACCATATCTTTTGGTCCAACTTTCCTTAAACCCAATCCAATTAATTTAAATAAATAAGATAATTAATTAAATACTAAAATTAAAATAACTAATTACATGAAGCACATAAACAAACAAGAATTTACAACTAAGTCACACAATACCAATAAAATCAACACACCAATAATTTAATCAATAATCAACCACACAAACAATCAATCATCATACATAATCACGAAATATAACTTAATTAAAATAAGATAATTAATCTAGCACTCAATAAAATAAAATAAATCATTGAAAAATAAAATAAAATAATTAATCCTAATTAATAAATCCTTTAAAAATATCGGGGTATTACAGTCTCTGCCTGTTCATTATCTTGGCTTTCCCATAGTTGCAGGCAAGTTGAGAGAGACTCACTGCTCTGGTCTTCTTGACAAGATTAACACACAGTAAAATTCATGGAGTTCAATCTTTTAATTTATCCACGAGCAGCAGAATTGAGTTGATCAGAACTGGGCCTTGCTTGGTTTGTAATTCTAAGAACAGTTTTTTGTTCTTAGAAAACTGAAAATAGAAAATTGTACAAAAACTCCCCTTAATTTAGTTTTCTGAAAACTCAGTTATAAAAAAGGCATGTTTTCAGAAAATTTTGTTTTATTATTCTCTTAAAACTGTTTCCTGTTTTTTGAATTATTGAGAACTGTTTTAGAGTTACAAACCAAGTAAGCCTCTATTTGGCCTGCTGTCTTCTCTATCCACGTGAGAGTTCAAGATGAGATTGATAGAAGGGAGAGGAATTTCTTGTGGGGTGGAAGTCCAGACAAGAAAAAGAATCATCTTATAGCTTGGGAAAAACTGGCACTTCCTAGGTCTAAAGGTGCCCTATCTTCTTCTTGTGTTCTTACTTGGAACTTCTTGGCGTCCAAAGAAGAGTTGTGGATGAAATGGTTCAGGGACAAGTACATAAAATGGACATTTTTGGACCATGAATCCCAAGACTAGTGATTCTTCAGTTTGGAAGGCTATTTGGAGTACCGGTGTGATTCTTTTGCAGCATCTCTTCTTCTCTATTGGTAATGGTCACAAATTCAGCTTTTATTACGGTCCATGGTTCAATGGACACTCTCTTCAGCAGCTATTTGGCTCGAGAAGACTACTTCTGATCCTATGGCAATCCTCCTTTCATCTACTAGGTGGAGGATCCCGAACAGTTGGCCCTCTGAAATCAAAAATTTCCTGCATTAACAATCTAATTACAACCTTGAGGATTCCATTAAGTGGAAGCATGGCATATTTTGTTTCAAGGCAGTTTGGAAGGTTTTTATAGAGCACTCCGATCCTGTCCCTAGGTACAGCCTGATATGAAAAATAAAATAAAAAATAAAACAGGCCCAGAATTGCTGTACAGTCTGCTCTCATTTTACATAAACTCCATTCCATCATGTTATAATCTCGGAAAGAGAGGATTTGTGGGCCCTGCCATTTGTCTTCTATGTTACTCTGAAGCTGATTCCCAAGACCACTTATTTTGGTGTTGGAACTGGTTCATTCAATTGTGCCACTGCTATGGACTCATTCTTGTTTTGCATTTCTCGGAAGTACTGGAGTGGTTCACAGATATCTTATGGAACAAGTGGAGTCATCTTTCTGTCATATTTTCAAGAAAATCACCTTGTATCTTACTTTTCTTGAGCTCTTTATCAGCATATACGAACTTTCAACTGGTGCCAAGAAAGATCTATAAAATTTGGTTTCAGGTGGAAGGATTCATTAAGACTGATAGAATTCATACCTTGCCACTACCAAATAATAAGAAAAAATAATAATAAATTATTACAAAAGAAATATCAGAAAGTCCTATTTGGAATCAAATGTGCATATGTACTATGTAGTGGTTTTATTGCTGTGATGTAGTCAGCCAGAAGTTCATCAGTAACTTGATTCTCTCTGCAAATTTAGCCTCAATATTACACTACTTTTTTTTTTTTTTTTTCCCCATAGCTTTCTTTTGATTTTTTACTTAGCCAGCCACAAATTTAATGCTGCACAAATTCGTAGCTTTTGTTAGCAATTTGTTAAATTTCTTATGACTGAGAAAGGAACAAGAAGATGTAGGTAAAATTGGTTTTCTGAATTCATGGATGTCTCTATTCAGTGAAATCACACAATGAGGCCACAAACCATGCTTGAAGGCTAGGGATTTTTTTTTGAGGTTCCAGAGAGCACTGAGGAGCAATCTAATAGGAGAACCAAACGTTACAATGCCTCTTATAGTTCCCCAGTAAATAGGATATTTTAAAACAATATCCCGGGGGTAACTGCTACGTGGTACCCCAACCAATGAAAAAGTCCCTTTTCTCATGATAGTAGAAATGGACAATCTATCTTTTGCTGGGTACTATATTATCAGTACCCCAACAGTGTTCTACAAAATAACAAGAAACTCTGGTTTATATTACCGATATCATAGGCAGTTAATGCTAAATTTATTGAATTCTGAATGTAGGGGATAGTATGAAAAGGGAATTAAACAGAAGGAAAGCTACATATATAAGTAAATTTGAGTTCCAAAGAAAAACAAAGTTAAAAAGTGAGAAATGTTAAACACCCTCAAAGTTCAAAACTGATTGTTAAAAAGCTTGCTCAATGCTGAGGGTTGTCCACAAAAGATCAAGGGCCATTTCCATGTGACAAGGAAACCTTTTGCTACAAGAAAAGCAGATATACCTCTGATACAACAACAACAACCAAGCCTTTGTCCTAACTACTTGGGATCAGCTATATGAATCCCATGTTTCCGAGAAATGTTGCAAGAAGTATGGTTGTATTTGTCAATACCCTCTTCCTCAAGTGAATGCATGGAGATGATCACTTATAGGGAAAAGCCATTTGTACACTCAAATCAGCTTGGAAGAGTTTGGGAGGTGATCATCAAACAAAGAGTTGGTATAAACAGTGTTGGAACCAAAGCAGGCCTGAAGCATGTTTCGCAACTTGTTTAGCTCTTCAAAATAAACTAATTTCTCTTTCGAATCTTCAACTCAGAGACATTTGTCCTACCACAGTTTGTCACAATTGTTATAAAGCTGGCAATAGCGTTGAACATTTGTTTTTTGAATGCCCTTTTGCCTCAGTTGTCTGGAAGTCGTCGTTTGATGTGTTTCAGTGGAATTGGAGCCAGATGACTCACGGCAATTTTATGGTTTCGGAGCATATTTAAAACTGATAATAAGAGGAATAAAAGATGTAGAATGGTCTTTACTATGTTCATCTCTCTGATATTCATATATTCAATGACCGATTGCCATTTGTTGGAGAAAATTTCCGATTTTTTTCCTGAGCTTTGTCAGACTAGTGTATGTGGATGTTTTGGTCTGTTCAGTGTTGCTAACCCTCTGTTTGGTAAGAGAAGTTTGGCTAGATATATTGGTGTTATCTTTCATTACTTTTTAATCATTTTTGGGGTTTGGAAGTGGTTGTTTTCAATTGTTTAGTGAGGAAAAAAAGGCACTTGTACATATTATACTTCATTGAACTTGAAAAAAAATGTTATTGAAGGAGTTCATATGAGATGGCCAAAAAAATTAAGGATGAGTCACATTGCTAAATCCCCAAGGAAGGATGTTACCTTAATGTTACTTTTTATCTGGATGGCCTCAAGAAGAAGCAATTCCTCTCTTTAGGAGTTAAACTAAGCATGTTGATCAAAAAAGTAATTGAACACTAACACAAACAGACTACAGTCATTGTTGGACTCTACATCAACATAAATTCAGATGGCTTAGAAATCAATGTCTCCATTGACCGTTGAAATTTTCTGTTCACTCTAGAACTGGATGATTTAAAAAAGAAAAAAAGAGTTGTCATCAGTTTGACTTTGTCTCCATTGACCATTGAAATTTTCTGTTCACTCTAGAACTGGATGATTTAAAAAAGAAAAAAAGTGTTGTCATCAGTTTGACTTCTGTTTGAGCATGCTTTTTTTTCATTTTCTACAAGTTTGGTGTATGATTTTATAAGGTAATCAAAGGGCTGAGATGTCAGTTTTACAAGCTACTCTTAAGGGGTTTAGCGGTTTAAACTTCTGGACAGCTTGAAACGCATGCCAAAAAACAGTATCTCAAGGGAGGACTATAAATTGTTTGCAGCAGCACAACACAACAATATTGCAAATGGAAATAGTCTGGTAAGATCAAGAACATCAACTATCAAATATATTATCACGAAGAGTTGAAATAAAAGTACACTATTCAAATTAAAAGGAGAAATGAACAAAAATAAATATATAGGATAAATGTACTCTTCATTTGTCAATTTTGGGGAAAATTAAACTAATAATCATCCTCAAGGGAAAGTTGTTCCATAATGTTAGGGAATTTTTTTGGCAAAGTAAACAAAGGTTCTTCACCACAAGAAGAACCTTGAAACGCCAAAGCCAAAGCATACCCCAAAGCTCGGGCAACAGGGACAGCAACTGCATTTCCAACTTGAATGTATCTAAAACAAATATAAAATGACGAGTCAGAGCAACTGCATTTCCAACTTAAATGTATCTAACCAAAATAGGACTTTTATTTTGAAAACTTAGCTAGAATTTCAATTTGATATTTCACCTTCACTTATAGTAGACAAACAAGAGACTATTAGCACTTTAAAACCTGACTAATCTAAACAAAATTTGCTCTTTTATTTAATGAGCTTGAAAACATTTATGAGTACGTGCATCCCCTTGGATAACCATCACCAATGGGCCATTAACCCAATGGTAAAAACTTGCTACCCTCAAAAAGGAGGGGAGGGGGCCTCAAGCCCTGGCATAGGCAATGAGTGTGTTAGTGCTTACTTCAATTGCACCAGTTCCTTTTCCAAGAAAGGGTTCACTTGATTCTCAACTAAAAATTACAGAAAAAAGGAGCAGGTGAACCACAAAAATGGAGTTCTAAGATTTGGAAATATTGAATTATAACATCAAGATAGCTAACATATTTTAGAATCAATATCCTTCATTATTTACCTTTCTTTGATTGGGCCAAAAAGTCTATAGTAATCAGGAAAACCTTGTAATCTAGCATTTTCACGAATGGTGAGTACTCTATTTTGCTGAGGATGCAAGATTGTCTGACAAAATATTCAATAAATGTAGTTAGTTAGACGACAAACACATACTTGTATTGCATATGCTAACAAAGACATTAAGGGAGAGAAATACCTGATTATGAGGCTCAGCTCTTGTAACAACAGTTGGTACTGTCTCATCCCACCATAATCGACCAAATGGTCTAATGATTGCACAAAATTAGAAACTAAATTAGAAATCTACTAAATAAAAATATGATTGCTTTCAAGTACTTACTTTGTAGAAGTCCCTCCCACAAAAGTTAAAGCATAATCAGGGACCTATCATTACACGCAACAGAATCAGAATTAGCAACAACTGCTTACAAACTTTTTATAGAAGAAACAAAATATCAATGAACAAATCTTACCAAAGGCTTTCCTGAAGAAAGGTACACCCTTGCACAATTTGGATCCAATTCAACTATGTTATCTTTACCGACCATAACACCTGTCAAATCCCTGAAGTTTGCACCCTAAGACCAGTACATCAAGAAGGATTCAAAAATTTTAAAAACAATTTTTTAACTAATATCAGACCAGGTTGTTGAAGGTAAAGCAAGCCAACCTTTCTCATTGGAATTTGACAAACACGTTGATAGTCATCCTCATTTAACTGGAGTGGACGATGGTCAAACAAGACATACTTCGGAACTTCTTCCCCAAATGTCGAACAACCCACCTCTACATAAAAAATGAACAAGGGTGATCCTACCCGCCAAAACAAATAGAAATGAAAACATGAAAAATCAAAAGTAACACATCTCCCACAACTACAAAACATCAAACACTTAAATCAATGTCCATTTGCAATATCACTAAAAATTATCCAATGGGCCTCTAAAAACAAGACGACTAGTACATTCTCTGAATTTTCATCTCTGATGACCCTTTGATACAATTTAGCCCTTCATTTTCTTAAGGGCAAAGATATATAATCTCCAGTTCTCAATAAATAAGGTTAAGTGCAAAAAAAAACCTGATATATAGTGTTTGAGCAAAACTAGTCCTTACTTTTTAAAAATGTGCAAATAAGCCCCCCGACCACTTTTTGGCAAAAAATAAATTTAAAAATCCAATTTTACCCTTTTGTTCTTATTTTGCCCTTCATCTCTGTCTCCCCCTTTATCCTCTCCACCTCATCCCACCCCCATTACAAGCCACAACCCTCATCACCGCCACACCTAGAAGTATATATACACACATGTATATAACTCAAAGCCCATCCCTGACTTATCAACCACTTCCACATCACTCATTCAATGGAACTCACACACAGTCTCTATCCACTGATGAAAGAACCAGAAGAGAGAGGGTAGATAATCAAGAGATGTAATTTTTTGGCCTCAACAAGTGATTTGATTTAGCGGCGATGATATACATATGGACGATTTCATCAATTTGTCCTCCACCAAGAAAATCGAATCTCTTTTGTGACCAACAAAAGGGTTTTCATCAATTCGTCCCAATTCCATTGTAAACCAAGTGTTATATATATATTATAGAGATCAGAGGGAGAAACATCTCTTTTATCAAACATCTCTTTTATCAAACCCATTTCTTTTATAAATGTTGCATGCGCGAGAAATGGGGATGAAAATGATTTTCTTTTTACTTATACTTCATCTCTATCCATATTATCATTACTGCCTCTAACATGACAATTGTTAATGCCTCTAACAAATTAATAAGTTAGTATAAAAAAATACATTATGACTTATTTACAAGTACACTTAAACAGAACTTATGACCTCTTTTCTTGCTCTAATGCGTTCATGGAACTTTCCTCTCCTAATGTTGGATCAAGATAATTATGGGTTGGATTTGGTAACAGTGGTGATGGCAGTAGAAATGCAAAATGGATTTGGGTTATATATGCATGTGTACCTAAGGTTTGGGTTGTGTTTCTGGTTTTTGAGTTTGGAAAATATAGTTGGTGGTGGTGGTGCGTGGAGTGAGAAAAAGAAAGGAAAAGGTCATTTTACAAATTCCTACATAATTTGGACAAAATAGTCATTTTACATGACTGATATTTATATTTATTAATTTATTTTACTGAAATGAGGGTATCATCGTCATTTTATACCACACAAGGGCCTATTTGCACCAAATTGATAATATAGGGGTTTTTTTAACCACAAAGAGACCGTTTTGCACTATATTGATAGTAAAAGGGGATTTTTTGCACTTTACCCCAATAAATACCCCCTCCATTTCACAACCCATACACACGCATAATCCATCATACAAAAAATTCCGCCTACTTAAAGTACCAACACTTATTTCCCCCATTTTTTTTTTTTTTTTCTTTTTTGTCACTTTCTGTAATTTTCCATCAATTTCTCAAAAAATGTCATGAAGACATTATTTGGGTTCTTCCAAGCCTCCATTGGTTGAAGAAAAGGAACAAGGGAGAGAGGCAAGCGGAAGATCATCTCAATTACACTATTTCCCTTTCTTTCTTTTGACAACCAATTCATTTCCTTACTGCAATAATTATAAAATAACTTACACGTCATATAACTCATGTTTACTCCCTTCTCTAGGCATTAAAGCCCAAGTTAATGCTTCATTGTGCATCCACTGGAGTATAAAGGAGGGCCAGGTTAGGGTAGCACATTATGTAATGCATGTTGCATGGGTACCGTATTATTCTATGCTAGACAAAATAAAGGGAAAGAGAATATACATCAATCTCCTTCCTTTTCTTGATTTCCTCTCATTTTCTCCTTCTATTTATTGTAGTCACAACATTCTTTAATTCTACCCATCTCTCCACACCTTAAAGTCCAAGCTTATGCTTCATTGTGCACATATTGGAGTGTAGAGGATGACTAATTTAAGATAACAAGGCATATTATGCATGTTACATGGTATCATATCCTGTCATAAAAAAAATAAAATGGGGACCCTATGCATCCATGGATTTTTGTCTGTGGTAATTAAACTTGCATGCTTATACACAATTGTTAGGAATACGTGTGTGTTGGAAATTTTCTACTCAAACTCAGATTGTAATGTTTGTTAATGTTTTGAGTCCGTCATCAAGATGATAGAAGATAATATAGATAGAGCTTAGCAAAAAGAATGTCAAAAACATCTCAAGACTCGATCATATTGGTTATAAACATGGACTTATAGTCAATCTAGGTTCTCTCTCATTGGAGGTTTCAGTTCCTTGCATATTATTTACATAATCTAAATTTTTAGAGAAACCTTTGAGAATCAATCTAGGGTTCTTCATAGATTACCAAATTATATGTGATTGAGATAATCAAGCAAGGAAATGAATTAAGCAACTTTATTCAAGCATCAACTGAATGGTTTCTTACCAATAAGAAGCTAGGAAAAAAAATTACAATTAAAACTTACCATCCTTTCTTAGTCTAATGAATCGCTGAAATTCGGTCTCAGGCTCACCCTCATAAGGCATATCATCCCGAGCCTCATCATTCTCAACCTAAGACATACACAAAATGTTAAATTAATTGAGTACAAAACATGTCAAATCAAAATAGAAAAAAGAAAAGCAAGGATACTAAAAATTTAGTTTATAAATATACAGGAGGGAGGTCAGATATAGCATCCTGGAGTAATAATTCCTTCTCAAGTTCAACGTTGCATCCTTCTTCATAAGCAACAGTGCACGACTGCATTAAAAGAGAAGGGTATTTAAAAAAAAAAAAAAAGCAAGAACAAAAATTAAAATTTAATGTGAAAATTAATTATAAAATCATACCTCAAATTCAACAGGGATGGTACCCCTCACTACAAGATTGTGTGTTGGTAGTGGGTATTGAGGCAACCTCTGCATATAAATAATAATCAATCATTATAGAGCACGAGATAAGCTTAGAACTAAAAAGAAATTGATAAAATTACCTCCTTTGGACCAGCACCCCAAATGAAAATACGCATTCGAAATTGTGGAAGTCCAAAACACCCTGCTGCCATCATTCCCACCCGTGCTTGATAATTCATTCCAACAAGTCGCCCTAAAGCATATCTTCCAAGATAACCCCCCGCAAACCTAACAATGTCTACTACATTTTCCATTAAAACAAATCTAGGCCTCAAAAAGTTAACGATATCCATGAAAACAACTAGTTGTTTATTTTTTGGATCATCTAAGGGATTTTCTTTATTTCTAAAGCGATTAAATCCACTTATCCCTTGACATGGCGGACCCCCACAAATAACATCAACATTACCCTATGTGATAAACAGGGAAAAAAAAAAAAAGAATTAATAAGAGCAAATGTCTGAAACAATTATATATTAATAATAGAATCATAATTTGTTTTGATGACTTACAGGCAATGGCAAAATCTTTGATTTGAAACCTTTTGTAACAAATTCCTTTATCTTCTCCTCACAGTTACTGGTGAATTACATTGATTATAAGATATTCCTTAGTTGGTACATAGAGAATGGCACAAAAACAAAGTTAAACTTTATACTAGCATACCCTAAACCTTCCATAGGCTCCCATGAGTCTTCATCCGGTCCGTAACCCTTCCAACGAATCTAAAATCATAAAAGGAGGATGAAACAATGCATTGATTGTAGAAGTTAAAAAAAATTAAACTATGTTCAAAACTTGTTAAATATATATATATATGACTGCATTTTAGAAGTTTAAAACATTTGTTTGTCAGAAAATTTCTTGTGAGAGTTCCTTTAACTAGAGATAAGTAAAAACAAGCTCAGTTTTTTTTATTAAAGATTCAATTACCTTAAGATACAATCCAGGTTTCTTAATTTCCTTTGGGTCACCATGACAAATTGCTAAAACCTTCTCTACTTCAAAATCTTCAGAATCATCTTCTTCTCCATCACTGACTTCAACACCTTCACCCTCGTCACTATCAATATCTGCCACCCTTTTAATATCCACATCTTCTCGTGAAGCCCTACTCCCTATCAAGGAAAATGAGATACACAGCCGTTCCCATTCTTTCAAAAGATTTAGAAAGTCTCCTGCTGACTCGTTTCTAACCTGTATTAAAATATGAATCAAGGCAAGAATTTCATAATTATGTAGTAAATGAGAAAATGAACAAAGGAAATTGTTTGGCAGCAAAACATACTTGAGTCTCAGGATGATTTAGTTTCAGGCTCTCACAGGCATATTTATTCAAGTCAACTGCCCATTTCTACATAAAACAAATAGAAGAGTTCATCACTAACAAACAGAATAGAACAAAATAATAATAATAGCTTAACTATTCACCATTCACATTTTAAAAAGGTATTATATGGCATGGAAATAGAAGTTTAGAACTTACAGTAACGAGATTGACACCTGACAAATTAGCACCAAGGCAAAGTCCTGTGGACATTGCTCCACAACCTGAGTATAGATCTAAGAGTGTCATCTCTGAATTTATTTTCTCTATGACTTGGGAAACTTCCTCACAGTCAAACTTTACTCCACCTACTGCTCCAGCAGCATTAGCCTCGCTAGAGATAGTTGAGCCTGATTCACTGCCAGCTCCTATATTATCTGCAACACACAAAATTTCTGAAACTGAATCCAAAAAAAATAATGCATTCCATTTTTAAGAACAAGTCCAAGAAATTTGATAAATATACAAAAAGAGCATCTTTCAGTGCTTTAATAAAAGAAACTACCTGATGGTAAATTCACAAAAGAAAAATTTGGAAGCAAGTACATCAAATCATAATAATAGTCACAATCTAAAATTGCTGATTTCTTGGAGGCAAAATCCATCTGCAAAATAAGCCAGGAAGATAAACATTTTAAAGTTCCATTAGAGATAAACTAAGTAAAACTTAAGCTTTTCTGCTTGGTAACTTCAGCCATACATTTAAGGGCAGCCTGCAAATCTTAAGCCTCTCAACAAGGCAATTCAAGGGGTTGTCATCCTTGACTTCAGACAAGAACACCCGCTTATCATCAACAAGGTTATAGTGGTTTTTGATGATCTGATGAGTAGGGAAAAAAAAATCAAGCACTGTTATTTCAGGAAAAAGAAATAAGCAACAAAACAACCAGTGGGGCATATGCCAGAAATTCTTACCGTATCCTTTGCCCTGTAAAACCATTGTGCCGTGAAATGAAAAGAGCCATCCAAGGCCTCAAACATCTCTAAAATTCTACAGATATAATTGTCTTCCCCCTCTCCAGCCTAAACACACAAATTAGTTGAAAACACACAAATTACATGTTAAAACTCAATTTTTGTTGTTGTTGCAAGTATACAGAATCAGTGGCATTAAAGGGAGCATTAAGCTCTAATGGTCAAACCATATCAGTATATGTTAGGCAAAGAATAACATTTGCGACATACTTGAATTACAAAATAATATAACCTCAATGAGAAAAAGTAACTTTGAGGAATTGAAAGTAAAAATTCAGAAAAAGTCATTCTTTCTGTTGAATAATTATCGGTTCACTAAAAAAATGTCTTTTGAATTTGTTTGCAACATCCAATATATAATATTAAGTTATCACACAGCAACTAAATTCCTAATTGAGCTAACATCACCATCCTAAAATCTCTGGTTTTATTGATATTGACAGACACCGCATCAATATAAAGTATATTGAACTTTAAAAATCAAATTACCGACAAAATTGAATAAATAAAAAACAATATAAGTTGGGGGAAATGTACCTTCACATGAGCATCGTCTTCTAAATTGAAAATTATACGACCATCAATCTCTGCCTGAGTGAAGTGCAGTTTAGCTTGAATAATCTCGTCTGATTCGTCCTTCCTGTGGCAATTGAAACAATAAAAGTAAAACACAATGACAAAAAAAGAGAACAAAAATAGCACATTGCAAACAAACAATAAAAATATGATTTTTATTTTTCAAGAGTTCAAGCAAACGCACATGCCTACAATATGATATAGATCACAAACTTACCCTTTTAAGCTTTTACATCCATCTATCCCTTTTCCCTTCTGTAATCCAAGAGATTGGTTATAAAAAAAAATTATCAAAACCGTAATACACAAATAACAATATGATATAGTTGTGTATGTATATGCATATATAGATAAATATATACAAAATATAGTTTAAAGCGAACCTTTCCGGCGTACCGATGAGGCCACCTCTGCCGAGCTTCTTCCTCAGGGACTGGTTCGCCTATGAATCTATTCTCGTCTTCATCGACACTAATCTTCTCGTTTTCTTCAATCTTCGACGTTTTTGAAGGAGTCGATCTTTGAGGGCTTTCCATCAAAACTGCTTCTTCGGCTTGTACAGTCTCCTTTAATCTTTTGGACTTCTCCGAGCTCGATGAGGCCTTTCGTTTCCTCTCCGTATGCGGTGACCCACCTTCGTCTACACTTGTCTTCTCGTTCTTCTCGAGACTTCTCGCGGACTTCCTTAAGGGAGTCAATCTTTGAGGGCTTTCCATCAAAACTGCCTCTTCAGTCTCCTTTGATCTTTTCGACGTCTTCAAGCTCGATGATGGCTTTCGTTCTCTCGCCATATGCGGTGACCCACCTTCGTCTACACTTGTCTTCTCGTTCTTCTCGACACTTCTAGTGGACTTCCTTAAGGGAGTCGATCTTTGAGGGCTTTCCATCAAAACTGCTTCTTCAGTCTTCTTTGATCTTTTCGACGCCTTCAAGCTCGACGATGGCTTTCGTTCTCTCGCCATATGCTGTCACCGAAGCGTTGAGAGGGTTTGGGAGGGATGAGGAGAATATAGGTTTCGCAGCGGCTATATCGATATGTGCGTGTTTTTGTGTGTGCGTGGTGTCTATTTAGAAAGAGGGAGGCAGAAAAGTCAAAAGTTTTTGAATAGAGTCGGTGGGCGGGAAGCGAAATTTTAAGAGGATTTGGCGAATTGGATTTGAACGTTGGGCTTGAGTTACGCGCATGTGACCGTTGCGAACAAGGCATTGTTTGGTTATGTCTGTAGGGTGTTCAAAATGGAATGGGCCGGGCCACAGGTTTTGAAATCCAGGCCTGAGCCCGTTAGGCTTTGACTGTTCAGTGTGTCGGGTTATCTTGAAATGGGCTTCATTCGAGCCGGGCTTTCTTTGAAAAAGATACTCCTGGTAAATAATTTTTTTCGGGAAATGTAAATAAGGATGGATACAATGATACATTTACATTAGTTTATAATTTATAAGTATATTTTCTAAAAAAAATTCAATAATCTACATGAAATTGTAAAATGAAGTTAATGAACTCGTAACGATTGAATTAAAGATTCGAATTTTCATTAATTAGAAATAAAAAAAAATTAATAAACTTTTGTTACTGAGGAATGAGTTACTGCATCACTATATCCAAACTAGGATGGTACCAAAAAAAAATTAGTGTAATCGGTGAATTGGTCAGGAATAAACTAACAGGGACGATTCGGTTCAATTCTAGTTGGGAATCAATTATGACTAAATCAAACTTTAATTATTTTGAAGAATGGTTGAACTTATTAACTTCCTTTTTCCCAAGAATTTACCTTTTAAAAAGAGCTTCTATGATATTTTTTATATTTAAATATTAACTAAATAAGTATGTTTTAATATTTATACAGTACTATTAATTAAGAACTCCTTTTTGAAGTAAAACTAATTGATACATACTTTCTTATCAATTATTATATGAACTAAATAGATAAGTATTTTAAAATTAATATTATGAATTCTTCTCCTCATATGACTGACGTGTTTATTATACTACCGTTCAAACACTCTATTACTCATATTTGAATTAAAGTCCTAACAAATTTAAAAAGCTGCAACAAAATCAACATCTAATCACATCGAGTAAAGATTCGATATTAAACTTGAAAACTTAGAAACTAAATTTAACATTTAACATCTAACATCTAACGCATATACGTATGCATATATATAACTTGGAAAAACAGACTTTCAAGCTAAATCGGTATACCAAACTTGGATTTACGGATTCATTTTAGGAGTCTTATAACATTATTATAATAATAATGATTTAATTATGCATATAAAAATGTTAAGTACATTAAAAAAAAAATATAATCTATTAGTGATTGATAGAGTTTAGGAGTGTATTATTAGTAGAGGAATTTTTTATAGAAATATCAAATTTTGGGTATTACATTACATAAAGGAGTGTAGAAGAATTTTGATAGAAATCATAGAATCTAATGATTTGAAACCCACATCTAATAATAATAGGAAGTATATTTTGTTGTGGGGAAAATTATAAATCACATTGTGATTTGTGAACATTCCCTCACTAAATTGGATTGTTTATTTTTTAATATTTCGAGGATAATTGGTACCTGACCAATGAAAAAAGAGGTCTACTAAAACTTGCTACTGTAGCTCAGTAGTGGCATTTTTTATTGAATAGTTTTAAATGGATTTGACTTCCTCTCTTTTTACAATTGTTTCAAGTCACTTGTTTACAAACAACATGTTAATTTGTTTTTGGTTAAAAAATTGTGCTAGAAAACATTTTAGAGAACATTTCAGAGACTTTTAATTATCTCCAACTCTCTCTCTTCAAGGAACACACAGTAACCGTTACCTAAAATTTTCAAGTTTGATGAAACGAATTTTATTCCCAGCAACGAAAAACCATTTTTGGTTTATGAAGAAGGAAATTTATTTTTGGTGATGATCTATTGGAATATGATTGGATGGAATTTATACTTATATATAACTTTTGATCATGTATTAATCTTTTGGGATATGATTAGATTTAATTATGGGTGTAGATAAATTTTACTGACCAATGGCACTAATATTATTAAATAATTTTTATGATTTATTGGGTTTAAAAAAATGAGATTATTCAAAATTTCAGTATTTATTGGTTACTATTCTTTGTCACAACTGTTTTGGTGTAAAAATGAGTTGAAAGTGTCAAAATTCAGACTCTATAGATTTTGTTTAGCAACAAAATATGACTCTAGTGGATCAATAATATGGGCGGCTAGAACGTCCGTAAGGTAAATGAGAGAAAGATGGTAAGAAAAACAGGTATCAATATGGAAAATCAACACGTTGTAAGCACGTGACTTGAAAGTTGAAATAGCTGTAAAAAGAAAGAAAGTCAAATCAATTTAAAAGTATCTAATAGGAGCTGCGAAGTGGTTATTCTGTTTGATCTAGAATAAAAGAAAGACTGTATTTAACAAAAATCAAATTTGAGTTGCGAAGTGCTTATTCTGTTTAATCTCGAACAAAAGAAAGACTGTATTTAGCAGTCCTCATCAAAAAATTCCATTTTCCCTTAAAAACAGGAATGAACTATATACTTGGAGTATATTAAGTAATGCTAAATTTATTGAATTGTAGGGGTAACGGAAAGTATAATTTTTTTTCTCGAAAGTATAAAAAAGGAATATGCTATTGAAGGAGAGTTCCTCCTATGAGATGGTCAACAAAGGATGATGATTGATGAGTCACATTGCTAAATTCCTGGGCAATAGTATGTTCCATTAATGTTTACTTTTTTATCTGGATGGCCTCACTAAGAAGCAATTCCTTTGTTTGGCAGTTGAACTGAGTTTGTCAATCAAAACAATAATTAAACACTAACACCCACTTTCAAGTACAGTCATCAGATGGACCCTACACCACCCATATCAATCAGATGACTTGCAAACCAGTTGTGTCATTCATTGCTGCCAACCCACCATAGTCTAGTGGTATTTATCTAAACATATGGGAAATTACTGTTAGTGATTACGATTTTTATTTATTTTTAAATTAGTGATAGTGATTACAATTTTTTTTTTTTTTTTTTTTAAGTTAAAAGCAAACAAACTAAGTCACGTCAAGCGAGAGCGAGAGTAAGAACAAATTTGAGAGCAGGAATATGATAACGACATAATTAAGTCATAAATAATAAAAATTTGAGTTACAACATGCGCAAAATGAAAAAGTAAGAGCGAATTCGAATGAAAAAGTAAGAGCGAATTCGAAACGTGAGAGCGACACCCAAATTTGTGTACCTTAGCAAACAATCACATACTGACTATTACCGGATTCTCAGAAAAGAGATTATACCGTTATTGGTTAGTGATTATAAATTAATATTCGCGTACCAATTGTCAAGAGCAGATGAGAAGTTGGTGAAGAAAACATCATATATTTGCTCCAATTGAGTGCCATATAATTCACCTAACCATATCAATTTCATCTCCTTTTTTGTCCAATCAACAGTATTTTATTTATTTATTAAGAAGTGGAGTCAACAACACTGCAAGTCATGGTGCCTCCACTAGCAGTGTTGTTGGGAGGACAGTCCACTTTTTAGCAACCATTTATATCTGAAATGGTGGGTCATGCGTTAGGTGTAGATTAAAACATCAGAATAAGGAAAGACAGTTGGATCTATACCCAAAAAAAAAAAAAAAAAAAAAATCCCAAACAAACAAACATCAACACAATTTGACCCGGTCAGTTTTTGACCATTCAACTTGATTTCTTAAAAACATTTTTACAATGTTTTTTCTCTGTTCTTTTTGCCAAGAGTGAGAAATGAGAAATATCATTCACCAAAAAAATTTACAAGATCTTGGGGGGCATACCCCCCTGTACAATTGTGCCAAGGGTAATAAGCTGTAGCAAAAACAAAACAACTTCTATACATCCTGGGACTATGATATGAACAAAAAAGTTATCAGGATTAACACACCTGTAATAAAACGTTGCGACTAGTAATAGTATATAATGCAATCATTGATCTTCATCAATCCCCAATCGTATGGAGTAATCCGACCTTGCATCCAACAATAAACAAGGCCCAATAGCTCTAAAAGCAGAGATCATAATAGGAGGGAGAAGGCAAACCACAAAAACCCTTTTTTTGGATAGAGTGAATATCTTTATCAACATTGTTGTATATTCTAGCTGCTGTGATTGCTCCGTTATGCACGCTTCTTCTTCACCATTTTTGGATACTGTGATTGCCCCAATTCTGCTGCGCGGTCAAGATGGATCCTGCGAGTTTCTTTCCTCTCACATCTCATTATACAACAGCTGCAAGGATCAATCTTCCCAAGGTAACAGAAGGAGTTTTGCTCTTCTTATTTTTGGCTCCCAATCGTTGACAGCTGACCACCCCCCCAGTAGGCCAAGGAATAGCAGACTTTGTTCTAATAAATTACCATATATTCTATCCGTAAATTGACAATGGAAGATATGATATTCCAAATCTTCAGTATGGGATCTACAGAAAACACAAGAAGTAGACGTGAGAGTGCTAAGAGTGTTCAATTAACCAAGGAAAGCAAGCCACACGATAAAAGCTATGTTTTGGTATTATAACTCGAGGGGACCAAACACCAACATTAAGTACATATATAGCTAACAATGGCGGTATTATTTCTGAAAAAGGTAATCCATATAAAGATATTCTGGCCATAAAACTTTTGTGAGGTTCACATGCAAAGCTAAGCTATGTTTTCTTGGTTGTTTTAGTGTACATTTAGCCAAGTTTTACGAGGTTTCAAGATTCCACAATGCCCAAAGAATTTTGATTGGTAAAGAAACAAATTGAACATAAAAGGAATGAGAAAATAGTGACTTCTCATTCAGAAAAAAATTAGTGCCTTCTCTATGATGAAGAACAAAAGATGGCAACCAAAAAATGCAAGGGGATGCATTTGAGCAACCAATAGTGGCAATATACTACACTTTACACAAAAAGCATACCAAAATGTACTTAGGTAGGTTCCAAGGATGGAAACAGATCCGCTCAATTCAAGTAACAACTAATCCAGAAAAATGAAATATCAGGTTAGCTGACTTACATAGGCAACAAAAGAATCCGCTTTAGATGGTTGACACTTGACACTAGTCCAAAAATCCTGCCACGGGAAAGACAAAAATTGTTGAGGTGGCTCCGAACAACAAGAAGCATCGTATTCAAAATGATAGGGTGGGGCAATTAGGGAAGTGCTGCCTTTGCAAAACCCATGGTAACTAATGTTCAATCATCTCCAGCTGAACAAACAAGGTTCACACAACAAGAGGCAGCATAATAATCACAATGCAGAGAGAGGAAGTAGCACCCAAATAAGGTCCAAGGACAGCCGAGAGAAGAAGGTTATCTGCGTATTTTTCCAACATATAAAGTAAAAAGGGGAATATGAATAGTTTGCACAAAGATTGCTCTTTGCTGTACAACACTGCTGATATGAAGTTGAAGGGCTGATCCAACTTCATTTGTCTGGGAAAAACCCCGAAACAGATAGATTTGACTGAAAAACGAGCAGGAATCACATTTCTCCAGTTCATCAGCATATAAGAAATGACCGAATCATCAAGAGCTCACCTCAAAATGCTTTTTTCAACAGAACAAAGATATGATGCCCAAACCAACAAACAGAAGAACTGCATGGACATCCAAGTGGAAGGTGCTCTATCAGTCTATAGATATATGCAGCTTATAAGATACAAGGACGGTATAGTGTTTCCGCATACGGTACTTCATACATATGAACTTAAACTCAAGTCCAGAAGCCCAACTCAGCTTCATTGCCTGCTACATTCCTTCAGCTCATCAAAACAACTGCAACAACCTGCTGTCAATGTATGCCTCCAGTTCATCAGATCCAACTTCATTTGTCTGCTAAAACCCTGAAACTGATAGAATTAAAAAAAAGAGCAGGAATCACATTTCTCCAGTTCATCAGCATATACAAAATGACTAAATGAACAAGAGCTCACCTCAAAATGATTTTTTCAACAGAGCACATATATAATGCCCAAACCAACACACAGAAGAACTGCATGGACACTGCTCTATAGATATGCGGCATATAAGATACAAGGACGGTATAGTGTTTCTGCAGACAGTTCTTCATACATATGAACTTAAACTTAAGTCCAGAAGCCCAACCCAACTTCATTGCTTGCTACATTCTGATCAAAACAACGGCAACAACCTGCTGTCAATGTATGCCTCCAGTTCATCAGCATACTTTGGTTCAACTTTGTTCTCTGCTACAAGCAAGAGCAGAGTTCCCTCCTCCCTGCACTGGAGAACCATGAACAATGTATTCTCAGAAATTACCCACTTCAATTAATAAACTTACAAATTAAAATAATTCAAAACACTATTGCAATAAGCAAATTTCAACTCTCCTGAACGTACATGTGTCAATCCCTGCAAAAACAATATTAACTTTCAGGAACCAGATCACAGGTGAAAACAAACAAAAGATAATACAGCATAAATTAGAAAAGAAATTGGGTCTTCCCTCTTCAACCTGAAATACAGTAGGAAAAACAAAGCAGTGATAAATCAAGACAAATTTCTAGAACACAAACCAAGATGCTCTTCACATGCTTGTTTATATGTGCACCATCAAGTAACAATCACCTTTACATAGATGTGGAGATAAGAGAGATAGGTCAGAGTAAAGCAATCCACTATACCTAGAATATCATGTGCTCATGTAACCAAGTTCAGACTAAATCACAAGAATAAATATGAAACAAATTCACATATACCACAATGTAACAACAAACATTTCAACCATGCGTTATTAACACAAGATATAATTTCACTCATACACAGATCAGAGAAAGAAACAACAAATAAAAGGCAAAAAAATGAAATAGTAACAACATTGCTAGAGCAACCCTGTATGATAAATGAAGACACTCATTGTTTGAACTTTGGAGTAGTAAAACGGGCAACTCAAGCTTCATAAGAAACCCTTGCGGATGTTAGTAGAGATATAGCATTATTAAATCTCCTATCAACAGTCAAGCTGCTGGGAGTGCTAACGATCCATTAAACAAGACTAGAGAATTAAGTTTTTTCCTACAAATAGGCAAGACGCATATAGGTCTGCCATTAAAGTCTGACATCAAGTTACGTTATCCATACTTGCCCCATGAAAAAGGAAAATTCAAACGAAAATAGGGGAAAAGGTAGAGGTTTATCATTATTATGCCTAGTTCATATCCATGCCGTCTCCAATTTGACTGCAGATCGGACCAACAGCAGCGAAGGATCTCTCAAAAGGAGAGGGATGAAACTGTGGACCCCTTCTGCGCTTAAAAGCACAGCTATCAGGAGGGGAACTCTCAGCATCAAGCTTCCTCCGGACACCTCTCACTGCCTGTTCCTCAGTCGGTGTTAGAGGGAAAACCTGCCTGCTCACTCTGCAAAGGGAGCTATGGTTATCATACAGAATTCTCTGGTTACAGTTTTTGTCACAAATGTGTGTGAGTCCTGTAAGCCTGCAACGATACATGTTTCCGCACACATGTTCGTTTTCACATTTCCAATCGCATTTGTGAACAGTGTTTGGCCCATCTTGGCCTAGAATAGTTGACAGAAAAATAACATTTGTGGGCACGGCTACCATAGATTTGCCAAATACCTCCATTGCTACTCTGGATCAGCAAATTTCAATATCTTTATGAAGATTCCTCACCCAAAATGCCTTGCCTCAAAAGTTCTGCAGCGTCCAACACAACATGAGAAACTGTCAAGTTCAATGCAAAAGGGCTTGTCGCTCTAAGAGAATTTTTTATTTTTTATTTTTTATTTTAATGTCCCAACAGGAAAAATATATACATCTAGAGGGCTTATGAGGGCTAATTTTCAAACAAACACAGAGAATTTGTTAGCGACATCTAACAGCAACAATTCAGATATTTTGAGACCCAACTCATGCTACAACAAATTAGATTTCTCAAAGTGCATAAATTTATGAAGCCTAATAGAGTGCCACATCTCTTCTCTCTGGTTGCTAACATCATGCCATAAAACAAAAAAAAATAAATAAAAGAAGGGGTCGGATTTACAAGATCAAGTTCCTCGGGACCAAACATAAATGAGTAATTTCGGGAATTTGATCAGATCATTAGAAAGAATTGCCAAGAGAAATGAGTAATATCAAATAATTTAAACACTCCCGTATAAATTGACACTTACTTACAGCTAATGCAATCAAGCCTTGAGGTGGGATACAACAAAATAGATCTTGCACATAACCCTATTTATAGAAGTCGTTGAAAGTCTCTGGATGGCTATTTTACTTCCCTAAACCCTCCAACTACACCCCAAAAGAGTTCCTCTGTATGAATAGAACATCATTCTTGCAAACTTTTCATCAAACAAGTTATATACATAGCCAATATAGAAATTCTGAAACAAACGTAACCTCCAATTTAAGCAACTTTGAGCACGTCAAAACAACCAAAAAATAAGGGGAAAAGAAAACAGTAATTAAAAAGCCCTAAAAACTTGAAAATGATAGGAGTCTAGAACATGGAATACATAAAAATGACTATATCACTAAAAGTCACAGTCTATCACCAAATTATTTTGGAAATAAGCAACAGAAACATAGATAATTAATACATACCGAATATACATAGTGTACTGAAGAGCAATTATAACATATACTATACACATACATATATATATATATATATATATATATATATAAATGAAAACCTTAATAATAAGACAAGAGAAGGAAAGAAGAGCGCATAAAGAAAGACTCACCAGCAAACAAAAAGAAGATCTCTCTCTAGCTCAACGCCGGGCCTAGTCTATCTAAAGCGAAAATGTCGACAGAAGAGCGATGGGGTTCGATATTTATAGAGAGAGAAGATAAGGTGATCCGATTCATGTGACGTTGAAGTAGCAGATGAAATGCAAGTGAAATTTCGGTGAAATGAGGAAAGAGTGAATTTGTCTTCTTTCATTTTCCACCCTTTTTTTTTTTGTTTTTTGGGAAGGTCATTTTCCACCCTTTTGTTACGCACTGCCCAGTGCCCCACCAATAATTAATAAAAGAAAAATATCTTATAATGGATTTATTTATTTCACATTGAAGAAAGTTAAAATACACCCAATGTTCTAAATGGTCTTGATTTATCATAATTGAATGTATCATTTTTTCTCATTTGAAAGCTGAAGTAAATACAAATACATCCATTATTTCTCTCAACCTCCTATTTAGTGGTCGTAATAAAATATGTACCTCACAACATCCATAAATTATTATTTTTTTAATTTTCATTTTTTTCAAATTAAATCTAATATTGTACTGTAGATTTCGTATCAAAATTTTTTTTTCCAGGATAAAGCTTACTTTTTATCCAAATTTTATATATTTAAAATAAATTTGATCAGATTAAAATTTTTATTTTTGATATACCGTGTGAACTACGTAATAGAGTGATCTAAAATAATTTAAAATAACAATAAATATAAATTATTTTATAACTTATAATTTTAAAATGAGGTCATACTTCATCCACATAAATACAATAAGATTAAAATGGATATTGAAATTTTTATTACAAATTTATAATTTTTAATATATAATAGAAATTAAAAAATAAATCGTGACAAAATATACAGCAGTTCTAGTGTGAAAAGCCTTGGCCATTATGAAAGTGGTCGCTTTGCTTGGGTTGGGGTGCACAATTTCACGTGGGTCTTTGTCTTCTTTCATTTGACTATTATTGAGTTTGGAACGTTAGAATAAATATAAATAAATAAAAAAGTGTTCGTTGAACTTTTCTGGCCTATTAGATGCATGACACGTGTGACTTGCAGCTGCATCGGCGGTGCACGTGATAGGGTGCTCTTCTCACCAGTCGTTTACCTATTTTCAAATATAATAATAAAATAAGAAGACTTTAACGTTTACTTGTGCGGGCCCAATTGGAAAGGGATGGAGAAGCTCATGGTTGGGGCTTGACATTGGGCCTGAATAAGACCAAACTAAAGGCCCATTTTGATATAATTGTAAAAATGCAACCCAATTTAAACAGAATTTGCAAAATCAACAACGGCCCAAAACAAATTCGGAACATGAGTTTTTGTTTTTAGATGTTGAATTAAATCCAAGCATTCAGCAGAGCCAGATCCCCTCTCCAGTGGTATTGTTCTTCAGGTGTTTCAAAATGGTACCGTTGTTTTAATATTACTGATATGAAATTCGTGTTGAATATTGTGCGTATGCACTAAAATGATATTGTTTTAGTACATAGGACCTCTCCACATAGAAGGAGATTCTCTTCAACTTAGGCTGTGAGCACACCATTTTTATTATTAAGACTTTTCTCCTAATTGTAAAAGTTTGTGCAATTTGTCTCGTGTTTAAATCCTCACACACTAAGATGACCTTCAATTAGTTTTTGAATGATTCTAACCCCTTTAGAGTCCAAGAGTGGGAAAAGCATGAATAAAAATCTCTAGTAGCAAGTGGTGTCACCAGAGAGGGTTAAAGAAAATTTATTAACTTAAATGAAGTGATTTATGGATATAACAAAATTAGCTAAATATAAAATTTAGAGTTGGGATATATAAAATCAAAGCTCTAAATACATACAATGGGGAACTATTCTATTTGTGGGGCTTCGTTTAGATGTGCTATATGGGCCCGTTTACTCATGAACTTCACTCAACTTAGGATCTTCATATATCTATATATATTTGGAGGGTTATATATAGTATATATACATACATAACTACGTATATTATAAGAACAAATTAAGAATAATTAACGAATATTGAAGCAAAAATTATATTCTTCCAAACTTTGGTCTGGTTCAATATGCTATATATATATATATATAAGTTTGGAATGGTTCAATATGCTATATATATATATATATATATATGTATGCGCATATATAATATGCCCATGGAACAGAAAACGCCCTGATTTGCGCAGTCCATAAAGACCCCGCACGCACACACGTATTACACTTGGACTCTCACTCTCTCCCTCTTTCTCTCTCCGTTCTTCGGAATTCAATAACAGAAAAAATAGTGGAAAAAAAGGATCACAGACAGTACTATAGAGATCTCATTTTTGTTTCTCAAATTGCTATAGAAGCGAGAGACAATATATATATATATGTATGGAGAAAGAATTTTTGGATTATGTGTTGGTACCAACAGGCCTCCTTGTAATGGTGTCTTACCACATCTGGCTCTTGTATCAGATTCTCAGACACCCCACCACAACCATCGTCGGCATAAACGCCATCAACCGCCGCTTCTGGGTTCGTGCTATGATGGAGGTACGTGTCTTGGCTACTTTTTTTTATTCAAAGAAGTAACTGTATTTAGCATTTCTCTGTAGAAATATATAGATTACAGAAGGATTCACAAATGGTCGATATTACAATGATATAATATGGCAGGATGTGTCCAAGAATGGGGTTCTGGCAGTACAGACGCTGAGAAACAACATAATGGCATCGACCCTTTTGGCGTCGACGGCGATCATGCTCAGCTCCGTCATCGCCGTGCTGATGACCAACGGCGGACACCAACGGTCGGCCGGGTTCGTCTACGGGACTCAGAGTGAGCTGGGGTCCTCCATAAAGTTCTTCTCCATACTGGTGTGCTTCTTGGTGGCATTCTTGTTCGATGTTCAATCAATCAGGTACTACAGCCATGCAAGCATACTCATCAACGTGCCATTCAAGATGACGACTCCGCACAGCCACCACCTGACGGATGAGTACGTGGGGAGGACGGTGAACAGAGGGAGTTATTTCTGGTCTCTGGGCTTGAGAGCTTACTATTTCTCTTTCCCTCTCTTTCTGTGGATCTTCGGACCCATACCCATGTTCTTGTGTTGCATTGTCCTGGTTTTCATGCTTTATTTTCTTGATGTTACCTTTGATTTTGGGAGAGTTGCTGGTGCTAATTCCAGAGATGAGATCAAGGATGAGGAGATCGGCACTTAGGGTATGTTTGGATTGAGAGATTTGAAGGGATAACCAGAGAAAAGAAAAGAAAAGAAAAGAAAGGACGGCGTAAATTGTGTTTGGGTAGGTTAAAATAAGAGAAAAAAAAAAATTGAGAAGACAGGAAGAGAAAAGATAGTGTTTAAGTAGTATTTTAATAATTTCGAAACTACCTTCAAAGGAATAAATTATTATTCCACTCATATCCCATCTATTTTAAATGATATATTAGTAATTTCATTATTATCATATCTCTTCTTTTCTACTCTCTATCATATCCAAACAAGAATACTATACTTTCTTTTCTATCTATCCAAATATAAATATAAATTATTGCTATCTTTTATCTTTTCTTTTATCTCCTACTTATCCAAACACACCCTTAAGGAGAGGTTAAACCAAAGGCGGATCCAGCCTTTCTAAGTGGGGTGGACTAATTTTGGATTGAGCTAACTTTGAACTGAGTTACCATTACTATTTTTTTTTTTTTGGGCTGGGCTTAAAGTAGTATGGTAAAAAAATTTTCTTTTTTTTTTTGGGTGGGCTGAAGCCCAGCTTCGCCCACCCTTGGATCTGCCCTTGGGTTAAACATGTAATTTTCCTTTTCTGTAAGCAGAGTAGTCCAGAGTAAGAAACCATTTTGGGGTCACTGTATATTGGGTTATTCTTGTCATTTTCTTAATTAGTGCAGTATAATAATGACAAATTACAATGGGGCGCAAATCCCCTGCTGTGCGATTTCTATGCTGTCTCCTGTTGTGAACGTTAAGTGGTCTTAGTTTGGCCACATTTTACTCCACTTAATAGACACTAAGACTGTGTTTGACAATTACACCACTATTTATAAGTAACATTTTACTACCATTTATGAGTAATATCACAAGAATCTAAAAGCAATATCATTGGAGTTTGAAAAGTAATATCACCATTTGTAAGAAGGTAACATCACTGCTTAAAAAGTAAAGACTATTGACAACCTCATAATCCCCTTCAAAATCATCTTTAAATTAACATGTGATTTTTTTTTGGACGTTCTATTTTTATTATAAAATTTAACTTAAAAAATATATAAATAATATGTTGAATTGAGTTAGATTTACGTGTGATTATTAATTTTTCAGTACTATGTGAATACCTTTTATTGATGGTGAAAGTGGTGAGTGTGACAATTAATATTAAACTTTGCCAAATTTTTTCTTTTGATGGTGAAGGTACTGTGTGTGACAATTAATATTAAACTTTGCAAAAAAATTTTTAAAGATATGTTAAATAATTTAAAACTAAATGCATGTTTTTTTTTTTTTTTTGGAAGAAAAAGAAGAAGAAGATGTGGCTCATTTCCTTATTTTTTGAAACAATGTTTGTTGTCTAAAGTTAATCCAAGTGATTTTAATTTTGGTTTAAATTCTTTAAATTAACATGTTAAAGTGTTTTTAAAATACTTTAATTTCAAATTATAACATAAATGATATATTGAATTGAGTTACGTTTGTATGTGACATTACTTGGTTTGCATTATGTGCATACCTTATTTTGAGGATGAAGATATTTATAAATGGTGGTGAAATGTTACTTATAAATGGTGGTGTTTGTATATGACATTACGTAATCTGCATTATGTGCATACCTTATTTTGAGGGTGAAGATACTTATGAATGGTGGTGAAGTGTTATTAATAAATGATTGTATAATTATCAAATACAGTCTTAGTGTATATTAAGTGGAGTAAAACGTGGCAAAATCAAGTCTACTTAACGCTCACTATAGGGGACAACATAGAAATCGGACGGTAGAGGATTTGCGCTCATTACAATGATAATAATAAGGAAATTGCTGCTCTCTCCAGCCGAATCCGAAACCCTACACGCATCACCAGGGCAACACAACGCCATTATGAAACAACAATAATGTGACATAATTGCATAAGCATTATGGGATGAAAAAAAATAAGAGACGATCGGATTCCTCTCCAATAATAGAGAGCCACGTCCGGATCTCCATGCATAATATTACTGTTCTCATGATAATAGAACTTGCTATCTCAAGTCAAATGTGACAATGTGACAACCAATACCTAGCACTTTGTACAAGTTGAGCGCTTCGAATCCAATGAGACAATAATGAATGCAGAATGAATTCTTTTAACCCAGTTTGGACACGCACACAAAATTAGTAAATGCTGTAGAATTTCTTCTTCCAAAGGGGATTTATACTTCTCCATAATATTATTGGACATCTGGATCTCTATTTACTTTGGAACATTCCTTCTTTAGGAGATTTTTCCAGGATAGAAAAGATGAGGAGGTGTTTCATGCACATCATGTTATGCTAGACACCTTTGTGACCTAATTTGACTTCCGTACACTTGCCTTAAGTTTTCGAGCAATTTCAGTTGTATCTATGCTTTATATTGAGACAGGTTGGTACCTCACAACAATAAGTTATTATATGATCCTGAGATCATTAGTCTCAAGTCAATTATCAATAGATACGTAAGTAAAGTAATGGTGTTAGAAATGTATAAACTTAATTCCGTGTTCAACAGTGATTGACCGAAATCAATTGGTCTCAGGACCATCTAAAAATTTTCACACACTATAAAGAAGAGACTATGAAAGTATTCATACTGCGATGAGAGATGTGACAAGTTCAGTATCTTTCGTGTATGCAAAAAAGTACAAGTCAAGACAAACCTGTATAGTAGCAACCTTTGTTTTCTTCCTAGATATAGAATTCTATATTTATGTAGAAAACAAGGGTTGGTACCATACAATTTAAAATTGAATATGTAACACATTCTTCCATTAAACATCTCATGTACGAAGCTCCTGAAGCCTCTGAGTCACCTCAGAAAAGACTCTTGCCCTATGCTGGTAAACCTCTAATGACTTGAGATTTGGTTAAAGCTGCAAAAGTATCTTGAAATGAATCTCAATTTCATAGGCAACATGAAAAAATCTGTGAATGTAAATTTCCAAACAATGTATATACCTATGTATAACAAGGGTAAAAATTTCTTACTAAATCTATTGATAAATTATCTGTAATCGAGCTAAACTAAAAAAAAAGAAGGAAAAATACCCTGTAAGATGAACACCGTCACTCCTTTTGCGTCCATGGCCATAAGTATCTACAAGATGACGATGTTCAACATGGTCCCACCATGGATCTCCTTTCGTGTCATGGGATTCTACAGCCATGGTCATTGCTTACACTCCAAACCATGACAATCCCTGTAAATTCCAAAGCCCTTTGTTTTATCAAGCCTATGATTCACTTTGAAGCGTTCCTGGCCCTTTCTCATCATTTTCTATGTAACAGTATATCTGCTTCTGTAGGCTAACGTTGATGTCAAACTTGATCCCTGCCACAATCACAAGATCTCCGTGAAAAGTTCATGGCTCACATGTAGGAGAGCAACAGAAAGAAACTAACAATGTGTACATAAAGAGGTTTAAGAAGCACCAACAAATTAAGACAGGGCGGCTGTATTGGAGTGTCAAAGTTGGGAATGGCCACAGGTGGTGGAATGTGGTGTATATGTTCATATTTATAGATGGACACATCATACATATATTCTTCATATGCCTATATGCCAAAGAAAACTTGGATTCAATTAGTAGGCCAGCAACTGCCCATCATGATTAATGAAGGTTATTCGCCCTTTTCATGCCAATTTGTGCAAGTACTTAGATTTGATTCATACCTGCAATATTCAACTTGTAACAATGCCAATTAGAGACCAATCAGAAACTCTGGATCTCCACTGCAAAGCAAGAATGCCCTTGAACGTAGATGCAGGAAATGGACGGCACCTGAGTCTGGCAATTGAATATAATTTTGGTTAATGGCTTTGATGATTATGCATCCATGAGGATACAAACACACACTTTACCTTTCAGATTACCACATCCACTAATTTCAACTTCAACTTCACGTTACCAGCTTGAACTACCAATTCGTCTTTAGATGGCTCCACTTTTAAGACAGTTGCTTTTTTGTTAAGGGAAGAAACGTGCACCATATCACCAACTTTGGGAAGTTTAGCCCTCCTCTCTGTAACGTTTACAGTGAAATTAACAATCTTTTAATCAGTATAATTTAAATAATGAAGATAGCACAAAGAGCTTCTTTGTCATACTTATCTTGAAAACACTTAACTGGAACAAAAATCCTATTTATTCTTTATGAAAATACCTGATGGCGAATCCTTGATACTATCAATGCGGTACAGAGTCTTAGCTGCTACAGAAAGTTCACTATTATCTGATGCAGTACGCTGGCTGTTAATTGCTGGTATATGCTGGCTGTTGTTTGCTGCACTAAGCTGGGGAGCTTGTGTTGCAGATGCACGAACCTGTCGCACTTTTTTGTGAAGGATAGAACGTCCCATTGCTGCCATCTCAGATATTTTAAGCATCTTCTTGTATCTTTGATCATTGCCATGTTCCATGACCTTCGTTCTAGTCGCCAGTAGATTTTGATGAAGATCCCTTGAAAGCCTGCAACCACAATACTCTTAGTTCTAAACAATCAAAGGCTTCCAAGATAACAGTATCGTTATTAACTGATTGCATGGCCATTATCAAGTTCCGCATAGAAACAAATCGTCCACTTGGAAGAAAATTTGCCAGATTCATTTTGTACATAATAATTATCAGCTTTCGCCTTCCCCAATTCAAGGAAGACACGAGAGTATGAGAGGATACATGTACATAGACTTTCATTATATTCACAATAAAGAATGTCATAATTGTACATTTTAGTTTTGAACAATCTACATGCAAAATCAGAAAGTACAGAAGACAACAGTAAGTCCCATGGTGATTTAAATGTCAAAAGTGCATCTGTTCATGCAGAAAAATTGTAGTGGAAATAACTTCCAACAATTTACAGGGAAAGTTCTTACACAATAGCGTTAAAAATGACAATCTCGAGAAAAAGGAAAAAATAAACAAAAACGTAAGTCACATAAACAAGGTTATAGGGAGGCATTTTACAGACACGTTAGGCTTGTTTGATGTGGAGACTAGCTGAGACATGCAGGCTTCGTTTGTTTTGGCATAAAATATTTTCCGAAAAACATTTTTTTCTTTTTTCCGGTGTTTGGCTACCATTCAAAATTACAAAACATTTTACAAGACAATGTTTTACACCAAATTGACAAAAACAACTAAAGGATCCAATTTCCTCAAGTTATTTCTAACTTCTAATTCACGACATAATTGGGGCTCCAAGCAATTTTAAAAGGCAAATGCTGTTTTGACATTTCACTTTGGCAAATTTCTTCCAATAGAGATTATGCACAATGCCAGTAAATATTTTCTGGTGCCGACGACAATTTTCTGGTGCAGCTGAACATTTGACGAGGCTGACTATGTTCTCACCACAGTAAGTGGGCTAATAAGTAACGGGTTCGTGTTTATTTCCCGATGAATAACAGGTTCATGTTTTTTCTGTATGTGCCACACACACAGCTGGGGTGGGGGCTGTTAGAGATTGGGTTGTATTTTTTTGTGAAAAATCATGTCTACACATACATATATATGTTATATATATTTATACATAAGTGTAAATGTATGTGTATATATGTGTCATATATCTTGTGATGGGTGTACAATGAATGGGTAGTGAAACATCTAGCACATGATGTGCTAGCAGCCTTGAGATGTTAATTGAGTGTATTTCATTTTATATATGTATGTGTGTGTGTGAAAACTCATAAATTAAGTTATTAATAGAATTATTTTGTGAAAATATGTTTTGTCCAGAAACAAAGAAGCTCTTTTCCAGAAAATATTCTCAGTTGTTCAGCCAAGCATCAGAAAATGAGAAGAAAATCATTTTTTTTAATGTAAGAAGTTTTACATGGAAATTATTTTTTAGCATAAAATATTTTATATCGAAACAAATGGAGCCAAAGTAAATTTCTTGTGGAAATATGGAGCCTAAGGCTATATTAGTGAAGGGTTTAACTGTTTAAGAATGCATAGGTGTTACAATATACAAATAATTAGGTTAAGATAGAAAGGGAATATTTTGGTAGTAATAAGGAATTTAAAATAATTTTATGGAAAGAAAAGAGAAAAACTGAGAACGTACTAAAATAGGCATGAAAATTTTCACATTGTTAGTTTATTTATTTATCTTTTATTTTTTTAAAAATCATTCAATATAATGGGGTTTAGAAGTATTGCCTTCCCAATGGCAGTGGTTTTAAGTTTCCACTCTCTCAGTACACATTAAGCTAGATCAAATGGAATTACAGAAAACAAATTTCCTAGCAACCTCCCAAATTATAGCCATAAATTTCTAACTTATCACTTCAAAATTTGTGGAGTGCTTACTTCATAAATATACTAGAGGTTTAGACATTAATTTTGTTGAGCAAAAGATTCTTACATCAGATAATGCCGTGCTTCATTAATATGCTTGTGTAAACCCTGCTTAAACTTTTCCATATCCATTATGACCTGCAATAAATTATGTTACACAAAATGTTTAGGAATGCAAATGATATTTGTTAAAAGCAGTGAAGTTAAGCAATAAACATTTAATATCCATGTAAAGCAAGCAGCTCAAACCTCCAGACCCGAAGGAAATAACCAAATTTCAACTTATGCAAGTAAATCTTGACCACCTTATCTCTTTAATCCTTATTAATTCTCACAATGACATTGAGACCTAAAACCATGTAGACCAAGACAATGATGGTCCATCTATTAGAAAGATTAACTACTGTTAGAGGGTAATAAACAGTATGGGGTTCGACTTGGTATATATTCATGCATGGTAAAATAGGAAGATATATATTTTAGGAAAATAAGCCTTTTTGTTACCGTTCAATATTTTAGATGTTAATTTAAAACTCCAAGGCAAGTTAGAAAATTCACAGATCACTCCAACCTTCTAATAGGAGTCAAAGCTTGAGAAGTAAATACATATGAATGCCAATACATGTTACCTCATTAATCTCTTGACTAGCTGTTCCATACAGTTCACGAGCATTATCTAAAATTATGTTGGGCAGTCCTAACCTTTCAGCTATATTGATTGCATTTGAACGTCCTGCAATTAAGATAATTACATTACTATACTTTAGTAATGTCCATTGATATAATGGAATTATAACGCTCCAAAATCTGGGGAAAATGGAGGTATTAAACAACCATCAGCTGCTTAGACATAATAACAATGTACCAAAAACACAAGTAGAAGAGGAGGGAAGAACTGCCTATCATTGTGGAAGCAGGATTATGATTTTGGAGTTAAGAAGTCTCTCTCTCTCTTACTTATCAAAAAAAAAAAAAAAAAAAGTCCCTCTCTCTCTCTCTCTCTCTCTCTCTCTCTCTATATATATATATATATATATATATATATATGTATATATATAATATATATCCACCAAATTTTTCTACTTCTGCTCTCCAGCCCAGTTGAGCCGTCCCCTTTCTCTCTCTCCCCCTCCCTCACTTCATCTCACATTTCCCTCTTCTCTCCAGTCAACTAGCCTAAGTAAAAAAGAAGCTGTATACTCAAAAGAAAGGTGACATTCAAATCCTCAGGGATATAGAAAAACAAAATGTTTAAATTCCATGCTCACAAGGCAGCCAAAATATTACACTGGATACTTGTAACATCATTCCAAATATTAGTATCATACAAATAAAGTTAAGCTATGAATCTCAGAGAACAAACCTGGGACTCCCCAGAGAATCCTATAAGTTGGCTTTAAGTTCACTTCATCAAACTCCATACATGCATTTTCGAAAGCATCGTTACTGTCAAAGTCGTTGTTCAAAAAACATGAACCTAAGGTTTTAAAGGATACAACACCTGTCTCATAATGAACTCAAATATTAGCTACCTGTATTTGAGGGTTTTGAGTTCGCCATGATGAGTAGTAGCAATTGTCAACAAAGCACCAGTTTCAGCAAAAGACTCCAGCAATGACATCCCGAGTGCAGCTCCTTCTAGGGGATTTGTCCCTGCACCCACCTAACAAATACAAAAGGATAGTACACATTTCATGTTCCTCCAGAGATACTATAAGTTCATCATCACTCAATTTCTTTTTCTATATTCAGTAGGCGAGCATTATGTTCGTGACATGAGAAATAATTAGAAAAGCTTTTTCTAGTACATACTTCATCTAATAGCACCAATGACTGAACTGTAGAGTGCTTTTGTATGTCCTGCAAAATTTAGAAAAGTTGTATGAAGGATGTATACACCCAAGAATTGATCACTAAGAAAATGTAAAAAGAGGAAATAAGGAACATTTGCTGTGCAAAGTAATGAATTGAAGACCAGGGAAAGTTTATTGGCAACAGGGTACCATTTCTCACCAAGCCCTACCTTGCCAATGTGTTCGATACTGATTTGAAGTTAGTAGACAAACCAAGAATTTTTGCAACTGATAAGAATTACCCTAACATTAAAATTGTGACCACATCACACTAAAAGCTTGTCTAGCAGCCCTCAAAAAATTGTACAAACTTTAACAGCAAGAAGAAATAAAATGATCCTCAAAAATTGTTTAGTCACAATAGGTGGAATCAATCAATCGACTTGTTTAGTCACAATAGTCACAAGATTGTGATAAATTGCATGGTAGGAGGTACCTTAATCAATAGAGGAGGTTCAACCGTTTGAGCCAATGTGGAGCAAAATCAATGCTATTGGCAGCAATAATTGACTTGATGAAATTTGAATTAAGGTGGAACTTGATAGATATTGTTCCCAAATTCAAAAGGTAATTAGATTTCTATTTTAGAGTTGCATTTTATTTTTAAAAAATTCTTGTTGGGGTATACTTGGGCTCCAATGAATAATAATCCTTGTCCAAGAAGAAATTAGGTCTGGGACACTATAAATAGACAACTAGGGTATAGATTGAGAATGAGAGACATGTAGGCTCATAAAGGAGTAGATGGGCCTATGAGAGTTTTACCTCTTTTTTAATTGCATAACATATAGAGATGTGGTTAGTAGTTGGTAGAATGGAGAGAGCACATGGAGAGAAGGGAGTCTCCTTCAGTTATCCACCATGAAGGGCTCGGGTATTGGCCTCTATACTCTGGAACGGGAGCTATTATACAAAGTCTAGTGTTGCGTATTCGCTACTATTTTGTAATGTCTCCTACAAAATTATAAAAATATCTCTTCTAATCCGAACCTAGTCGTGCCAAACTGCGTTAAATCTTGTGTTTCGTGTTCTCTATCAATTTGTGTTAGGATCTTTGTGCATGTGTTTCCACTGGCCCAACAGATGGAATAAGGGCTGAATAGGATGATTATGGTACTAATTTTTTTTTTTAAAAAAAAAAAAACTATTTAGTATTTCTGGAAAGCCAGATGACATCGAAGTTTTAGGGCTTGTACAATGGGAAATAGCATTAAAGTTTTATATCAGAGAGTTATAGGGTGTTGGAAGAAAAGGGTAATCGGATGGGCTGGTTATAGTTATTGTGTGCAATAGTGAAAAAGTTTGAAATAAAGAAAAAGAAAGAGAAGAACAAGAAGAAAAGAAAAACCTTAAGATCTCACCAAGTCCTTTAGGAGTGCCACCTAATTAATGGATTCCCACGGTCCCACCACTATAAGAACACAAAAATATCCCAAAAATTCATAATAATCAAGAGTCTTATATTATCTTGAAAGACTTGATTTTATAAAAGCATGACTAATATAAAATACGAACATAATACTTTAGAAAAACCTTTTACTGGACAAAGATAAGATTCAACTAATTCCAAAGAAGAAAAAGAACTAGAAGAGACAAGCAACTTGCTATGTACACCAAACACAAGTAAAAGAAATAAGCTATTTCTTATCGGCAAAATTACCAAAATTACTCCGAATGAATATATGATAACCCAACTCAAAAGGAGGAAGAATCATTTGGGTTCAACCAAATCAATTCAAAAATAACTCCAGATAAGTGACGCTGACAGTCCATTGGTAGGCCCATGTGGATTTTTCTCCACTCTTCCCTTTCCAAGACTACACTACCTTCCCTTTTTCATCATTTTGTAGAGGTAGTCAGCATCAAAAGAAAAAAAATATACAGCAAGTGAGTTTCTCCACTTGAAAAAAATAGGATTCTTCACAAAAAATTTCTGTGAATGCTTGTCCTTTGGCTCTCTCAGAAATTTCAAGTGAGGTGAAAAGAAATTTTAAGTTCATAGTAGCTGCACTATGCGGTAATCTGTTTAGAATATTATTTAATAGCGAGCCAACTTACACTAATTTGTTTCAAATGGCCAGAGAAGGTAGAAAGAGACTGGGACAAGGACTGTTCATCACCAATATCAGCAAATACAGAGTCAAACCAAGGGATCATTACAGGTTCAGAAGATAATACATAGAGACCTGCAATATAAAAGAAATTATTGAGGTTATATGGAAGAACAGAAGATTTTTCTAATGAAAAAGCAACAATAAGAATAGAAGATTGTCATCTAATATAAATCATTTGTGTAAGTACCAACTACTCATCTCCTCCTTGCTGACTAGGGTCATTTGGGTTATTCATGAACTTACTGGGTGAACTTGAAACTGCATATAAATTTCCAGTATAACTAGTAAAAGAGAAACTAATTGACCTAGTGAAGGAAGCAGAGTCACTTAATCAACCAAATTTGGCACAAATCAATCGGTCCGTGCTTGAGAATCGGTTCGCCAAGCTACCTAGCTTACTAAACTCAAGTGCAAGTGATGAACAAACTTCCGCCGACTCACCAGGGCTGGAACTGGCCCAACATTTGGTTGATACAAGAATGCATCAACGTGATTCATTTCGGTGCTGAATGGTCTCTTTTTGGCCCAACCTACACATCGACCTCCTCTTCTTCCCGGATTACATTTGTGCATTATTTTTTAAACTTCCATGATATTTCTCTACCTTACCATTATTGACTTTCGTAGCAACAATATTAGGTAGTTAACACTTCCATAGTTTGTATCTAGACATAGGCAGGTTTCCATTGTCATCCAACATTGAGTATCAAAATATTTAATATGGAAAACGTTTAAAAATTACAAGAGATGGGTACTCTTAATATGATTATGATGCCTATTACAGCTACAGAACTTAACGAGAAACATCCATAAGAGAGAGTAATTTGAATACAATGCAAAAATCAACCTGATTTTGCCATCATAGCAGCCAACCCAACTGTCTTTAAGCAAATGGTTTTGCCCCCAGTATTGGGGCCAGTTATAACCAGAACTCTAGTTTTATGAGGAACAAAAATATCAACAGGAACAGGGCGAGCTTGTTCCAATTTGGTAACCTGAAATTCAGAAGAGAGCTTGCACTCAATGGAACATTATTGCATTCACAAATGCATATAAAAAAAATGATGAGATTTGTCGTCAAACCCTTATATTAAACAGTTACCTGCAGTTTTAAAGATGAAATTTCCCATTCATCTTCCTGAGCAATATTTTCCCCTCTCAGTTTTCTCCTTCTATTTTCCTGATTACAAGAAATGCAAGTAATTAGCATGCTATTGACTATTAGAACCTAAACTATTGTACAACAAGGACTGTGACCAGTTCAGTGCAACACCAACCTTGAACAATCCCCCACCCCCCGGCGAAAAGAAGAAAAAATCCTTGTGGGTGTGATTCCCATGATAAACTTACAGCAGTAGCATTACTGACATCCTTCTTGGCCTTCTGCAAATTTTGCCGATATTGTAGAAGTAATAGAGGATGAAAAGCTTTTGGGAGATACAATGCCCATTTCCTCCTAGTGGGGTATAATGCAATTGAAGCTTGTTTTTCCGGTAAGGCTTCAGCAGTAAGGCATCCATCCTTGGCTTCTGGTAAAAATAGATCAGGATATGTTCCTCCAAAAGAAAGACTAAAGGTTGCTCGAGCATTGATCTGCACTTAAAGAACCACAATCAAAATAACAATGGAAATTATGGAATCACCAAAATTAAATAATGTAACATCTGCCAGAATATTCTCCATTTATTATACGATCAAACCTTTTGATTAGAGTTTTAGAAGGTACATGAATTTGCTCAAGAAAAGAACCTATAAAGATCAGCCCTCAATGCCTGAATGCACACTGTATAGTTGAGGCATCTTCTAAAAAAGTAGCATAAGATAATAATGAAAAAGATTTACCAGCAATGGATCAGTAGGAAATGTTTGTTACTCAACAGATAACCAAATTCAAGAATTCAAGCCACATGATATCATAAGGTAATTATCGGAAGGATAGATCAGTACATAATTTGTCCCTCCATCTTATTTCAACTCACTCCCTAACATTTACGATAGTAAATATGTATACTACTTTTTGTCCATTGACAAGTAGATTTCATTTTAACTTCAACTTCTATCTACAAAAACTCAAAACTCAACTGAAAGACAAAAAGGAAATAATCCTAAAACTGTCTGCTTTAAAAAACATTGTGTGCTTTAAAAACAGATTTCTATTGGAACTTCAAGCATGAATGAAGTTTCTTGATGACAAAAGCCATAGTAGAAACCTAAAGAATGAAAGCTTGGTGAGAGATTCCTACCACATCCAGTTGAAGAATGCTGTTTAATAAATTTTCAATGTCACCAATATCCACTTGCAACTGTACAGAAAATAGCATTGTGAAATATTAACAGTGAATTATACAAATTGTGTGAAAAATTATCACTTGGATAAATCCAACTGAACCTTCTCTGTTATTTTTAAGAGCATGTCTGCCTCAGCCTTTACTACTGCAGCCCTTGCTTGTTGCAACTCATCATTTAATGGAACAGCAGAGAGCGGTTCTATAATGCTTCCTGCACCTGAACCACTACAACATAGTCTTACCTATCAGGAATGGTATATTACAGTGTGCTGCTTTGATTTACTGAAAAACGTTAAGTACAATAATATTCAAACAAAAAAAGGTTTCCCACATTAAGTATGTGTGTTTTCACATAAATCAAACGACTGGAAAAAATACACCAAATGAAATAAGTTACATACAGTATCAAGTTGACCAATCCTACAACATACCACAGCCTTATGACTGGATAATTACTGTTCAAGTTTCAGTATAAGAAATTTTGTATTCTGAAAAGGTTTCTTGTCATCATGCTCCAGAACGAGGTTTAAATATAAAAGAAATTGGAAAAGAAGATTGACTCAGCTGTTATTTGCTTGTGGATTGTCCTCCCCTCTATATCAGCAAAAACAATTCAGAAATCCACAAATTTTGGCAACAGTTTGAAGTCCACAATTAGTTTCAAAAGTTTACAGATTTTACTGAAAATATATCCTCTCAGTTGACCAGTATCATCCACTCAGTTGTGTATATATATACACACACACACACACACATTATTTAAAAAATAGCATTTTTGTAACAATTCAAAACAAAAAGAAAAGAAACGAAAATCTAAGTCTTGCATTTATGATGCTTTTAAAGACATGACCAAAAAGCACTTGGCATTTTAAATGATAACCAAGAGATATGCTAGATATTTAATGTACCTGGACAGCAATAGGCCCTCAAAACTTGTAGGTGGATCAATCCCCGATCTTATACACCACCTTCCATCAATATTACTCACTTCCTGAAGACGGAATAAATAATTAAAGAAAAAATGGATATACAAATATACCCATAAGAAAGCATATCTCACCATAGAGGACGTCTCTTTCAATTTGGTCCTAACTAGGCTGTCCATCAACCGGTACAACTGAATAAAGAAATAACAGCATGAGTAGTATTCCAGGAGTTCTTGAGAACTTAGACCCATGATTACTTCAAATTGAAAGCCAACATTATATGCAGTGCATATGGCCATTATTTGCCAAACTAGAATCCATTGACAATGCGAAACAGCCATAGCAACTCAAAGACAAAATGCACCTTTCTTTTATTAACATGTATACAAGTCTTCTAAAAAGGATACAGAAAAAAAAGCATAAAATTTATTACCAATGAAAAATGGAACTTGAGAAGAATGTAGAGAAACAATTGAAGAAGCAAGAATAATACTATTTAACCTACCAACGAAGCTGGAGTGAAATATCTAAATACTTCTATCTAACCGATGAGTTGAAATAACAGCAGAAAAGAAGTGAAATGAATAAAAATTCATAAGTCTTATAGCAATAGAAGCAATAATGGGCAACTCATGGGGCCATGTAAATTGTGTAGCAGTCCAGGTAGAACTTAAAGGATAACTTTATATGTCTGTATACACATGCACTATGAGACTATGAAAAGAGTTTTTTCAAAAACACATGCCCTTACATCTTAACATACGCATGCATCAAAATGTATTAACCATTCTCAGTCATAAGAGTGAAAAGTTAACATAAAATATCCGTTACCACTCCAAATCAAAATCTTAAGTGCTTTTACTGAAAATGATTTTGGGCATAAATTTTTGAGATTTTGTGGCGCAAATTTGGTTCCGGGTCGTGTTGTGACCCGTTTTATGGGCCCAATCCCACCAAAGCTCTGAGGAAAATCTTTGACCTGTATTTTGTTTGCAGGTCGTGAACCATATTTAGTACTCTCTTGTAGCCCAATATTTAAGGACGTTTAGGGTTTGGAGTGGGATATTGAGAGAAACTGAAAATTGCAGAAAAGAGAGTGAGTGAAAGCAAGAGCTAGGGTTTGAGAGTTGAAACTTGTAATATCCTGTTTTTTCGCATAGTGAAATCTTTCGCTGGATCTTCATCATGGACTTAGACACACCTTGTGTCGAACCACACTAAATCTTTGTGTTCTTTGTGTGTGGCATGTTTATTTTTCCTGTCATGTTATGTGATTGTTACTTGGGTTGTGTTGTTTGTCGCAATAGTTTCTGTAATTGTTTATGTTTTCTCCTTTGCGGACACATGATCTTTCGGTTCCATGGACACTTCAAAATGTGGAAAGTGCCTGCTTTAAATTAGTCCATGTAACCAAGCTTCCCTTGGAGAAGTATTTGGTGCCACGAATAAACCCCTTAAGACTGCATCTTTTGCTTGGAGGAAAGCCTTGTGTGAATCCTTACCTGGAATAATTTAAAGCAAAGGGGCATAGATTGGCAGTTGGCTAAATGATGTGGAATGTTTAAAGAAGCAGAAGACTGTCAACCATCTTTTACACATTGTAAGTTGCATGAAACATGTGGTGCAATGCTTGCTGAGCATATACTAAAATGGTATCTATAAGTGATACAAAGTAGTTCATTCATTTGAAGTAATAATGTAACAAAAGAAACATATAGATATCTTAAGTATAGTTATTAGGTATATGCCTAATCAAAAGTGTTGGACACATATCTTTTTTTTTCCTCCCTTATTTCATACTCATGTTCATTTGTCACGTGTCTGACAAGGGAACACATACAAAAATGTCTGTAACATAAGCTTGGAGTTAGAGTGATTTTGGATTCTTGGCGGAGTTGCTTAGAGGGGAATGCCTCCGAAGGAGAGATAGACAATGTTATTAGGACTTGCCTAATTACCCCAAGGTGTATCAATACGACAAAAACACAGACAAGGGTAAGGATATGTGTCCAATACAAGTACATGTTCGTTGGACACTCAAGAATCAAAGAAGAAGAAAAAGATTGTACCTATTATAACTTTACAAAATTAAGACCTTCAATTGTCCAAGTGTTAGGCCACTGGAGTACAACAATCATCAAAATTAAAGCAAAAAATTGAAATAAGCAATATTTCATTGAATCAAGAAGATAATGATGAATAAGGACCTGCCTACTGAAGTCTTCAAGAGTTTCCTTTGTGGATGCTCTCAGCTTCCATATAGGAAAAAGGAAAGTTGATATAATATGATAAATCCTTCCAAATTTTGATATTCCTCCCAAACTTAGTTTTTATTTTCAAGTTGACTCCAGTGCTGTTATAGTTTTTTCTTTTATCCTTATAGAACTATCTAATTTTCTGTAACTCTCCTCAACTTTTTTTGCATTTACAAAGTAATCTCCAATTTCACATAAGATGTGACATGTATATGAGTGAGTACAACGTGTCCAACAACCAGTACATAATTCTTGGAATCACTTTAGTTGAGTAACTTGTATCCTAATATGTAATTGATTAGGTAAGTATACACTTTGACATGTACCTGCAACCCGATATATTTGGGTCCAGATAACATGGATATATATACATATTATATAACAGTGTCACATGTGATATTATAAGTTAAAAAGATATACTCTCATAGAATTTTCATTCAAGTCATACGTAATTTAGAAAAGGAGGTTTCCATCTATCCCAAAAGTAAGAAACTCTCCTCTACTATCAAATTTGAGCCTTTTCTTCTTCCATCGTCACATTAAGAGGGCTATGGTGTCAATTTGCATTTGACATTAGACACATAATTCATACCTATACCCATGTTGTATTACACCAACATGGTATGTCGAGAGCAATAAGAGAGTCCATGCAACACAAGTTGATTGAAGCAGTATATAGCCTTAATTATTCAAATCTCAATGTAAAATTTCAATAAAGGAACCGGCATCAAGAACACTAGGATTAGTTAATCAGGAAATAAACACATGTACCTTTTCTTCAAGCAACCGCACTTGACCGCGAGACCGTTTTAAGGTAGAACTCTGACATAGAAAAATATATATATATCTTTAAGAGCAGTGAAAAATATCAAATTGAAGAGAAAATGATTTTTTTCTCATGGAACAATACTTTATTTTACAGATGATTAGACAAAGAAATATACATTGGATGCAAGCCCAACAAACCAACACAACATCAATAAATTGTTGTATAATAGCACAAATGGAGTGATCAATAAGTTTACTTTCCAGAAAATTAAAAAGGTGTAAATATTTGATACAATTAATTTCTAGAGGACAAATAGACATGTCAATATGTATAAAGCCACGAAATAAGTGATGATAAAAAAACAAACCGAAGAATCTTTAACAGAGCCATCTTCATCTATGATTTGCTGTATGAACTTTACTAATGATCGATTTACAACCAATTCCATGATCTGCAAGTAAATTTAGAAAAATCCATAGGCATCAAAGCATATAAATGTATAAACTCATGGACATTTAAGGGAACAGTCATGACATAATTACAGTTTCTGTAAGAGGCATAAATCGCTGATACCAATCTGAGTCTTTCTTGATTGCAGCTTTGAGATTCAACTGCAAAGTTTCAGCAAACTGTAGCAAAGCAACTATAGCCACTGCTTCAGTTCCATCCACTGGCAATCGTCTTCGGACATTTCGGATAGCAGATTTCACCTCCAAGGTTAAAAAACAGGCAGTTAGCTACCTCCATAACACATATAGGATGGCGTATTAACATTGACTTGTGAGGAGACATGACACACCCCCGCCCCCCAAAAAAATATCCAACAGTACAGTAACTACAGTTATGAGTATCTAAAAATGTAGGAGACTAAGGAGAGTTTAGGGTGGGATTTTGTTGTGTACAATTTGGTGCCTTCAGGCTTCAATTTTTCCAGAAACCAAATTAACCAATAATATATACTTATCCAACACTAGATAGCAGAATTACAGAACGGTCATAACTTATTAAAAAAAAAAAAAAAAGGCTAGCCCAGTGCATGAGGCTGCCGCCGGTGCAGGGACTGGGGTGGTTTGATGTATGCAGCCTTACTTGCGGATTCAAAACCGTGACATACAATCACAATGGAGCAACCTTATTGTTGCCCTCTCATAACTTACTAAAAAAATTAAATCAAATGTTGTTTACATACCAATATAACATCAATGCGGCTGAAGTCCATGACGCAATCACCGTGATTGTGCATTTCCACAGCCGCATTGGTTTCGCCTAAGAGCCTTAAACTCTCTTCGTAGGTTTGATTCAACGACCACAACTGTGCCTGAAAGAATGAGAAAATAATTATAAAACAATACACTCAACAAATTCTGAACTCATACAGGCATCTATACATGTATGCGTATATATAGAGAGAGAACAGAGGGAACTCAGAATACATATATGTGTATCTTTGTATATATATACTTTTGTGGCTTCTTGGCCTAAGGAAGTGCCGGCGAAGGAAGCGACGGAGTCGCAGAGCTTGTTCCATTCGAGAAGCCTGAGACTGTCGTGAACAACGGATGATTTATTGACGTGTTTTGGGAGTGAAGACGAGGGTTTGTTGAGGAGTGCTCGAAGCTTGAATCGAACCGACCTATGACTGATACTGGTGGTGGTGGCGGTGGTGGTTGGGAGAGCAAATGTTATTGTAGTGGTAATTGAGATAGCAGAGTTGCACAACACTGAAGATTGAAGCATTATGCGGCCAAGGCAACGACTACCAATGGCAAATTTGGGCGATTTGCAGGGAGAGGGAGGAGGTATGGATTGAATGGAATTGGATAGACGATATGGCGTGGAGTTTTGTTTTAATTTTCAAATAAACTGCTAAAATTACATTTATATGGAATTCTAGATTTCATTTATTCCGTAATAGAAAAGTTATAATTCTGTGAAAAATCAAGTCACTTTTTCATCTTGTCTAAGTTTTCAAATAAACTGCTAAAATTACATTTATATCGAAACGTAGATTTCATTTATTCCGTAATTTTTATTTTTATTTTTTATAATTATGTAAAAAATCAAATCACCTTTTCATCTTGTCTACATGTGGAAATTACAAGTTTAAGTAGAGTTAAATTTATTTTAATTTTTTTTTTAATTTGATTGAATAGAATAAAATAATTATATATGAATTGAGTTTTGAGAATCATGGTTCATGCTTAAAATGTCTTTCAAAATTTTATTCTAAAATATTAAAATTTTTTATTTGATTAATGGTGCACAAGAGGTTTCATAGACGAATATTCATTGAGTACATATTTGAAGGAATTAAAAAACAGTCATACTTGAGTGTATTCTTTTAAATATTTTGACTGAAAGGAATTATATTTTCAATGCATATGTAATTATTTTATATAATTTATTAATTCAGTAAAAATGAAAACAAAATTTTTAAGGGTACCACTTCGTTATTTATAACTCCTAAATGTAATTTTTTAAAAATTAATTTAAGTTTTAGTGTACACTTTAACTGAGAACGCCTGTAACCCCCTTCTCATTTGACTCTATCTTCAACCTTCAATTCAATCACCAATTTGATGAGGTTTAAATTATTATCCACGAAAAAATGCCCATGTCCTTATGCAATGGAGGTGGCAATGGAATGGAACTTAGCTCCTTTCATGAACCGTCGCACCCAAACCCTTCTTCACATTTCCACAAATTTTTCTTCCACCACCACAACTTCATCCACCATAGCCAAGCCACCACCATCACAAGAGAGATGTTTTATGAGCTTGTTGATGGAATCTCGCCAGTGCCTATGGGTTGTGTTCGGGGCTTTTCTGCTATCCACATTGGGCCAACCTTTTGGACAATATGGATTTTGGGCCACTTTATGTGGGCTTCTTTCTTATATTGTTGACCTTTGTTTTTTGGTTATATGGACGCCTAGCCCATAACACTTCCTCTGGTATGCCCCCCTTGTCTACATATGTATAATATTTTCTTTAATTTCACTCTTTTTTCGTTATTGACTGTTAAGTTTCCATACAGTTATAATTTGAGTCCTGTGTGATACGCAATAGCCTTTTGAAGAAGAAAGTCCAGAATTTGATCCATTCTCTGTATTTTTCAAGGTTTTCAAGCATAAGCCCATTGGGTTATGAAGTGTCCAAGCCAAGCCCACTCTAGCTTTCACTAAACATATAGTGTCATCTTTTTCATGCGCAACATTTCAAGCATCAAGCATGTTTGACCTAAGTCAAACAGTTACCATGAATGAGTGCGCTACTGTCAGGCTTTCTGCAACTGCTCTGCTCTTGTTTTCATTACCGCTCTCGAATTCGCTTTCGCCCCATTCCTGCTACTTGGTGTTTGACACTATGTTCCACGTCTCGTTGGCATCTTTTGTATATATCCATTTGACCCGTTTTATGATTTATATATTAACTCTAACTTTTATATGTAGCTAGCTGCAATAAGCAATATTCACCAATTCTGGGAGAATATATATGTCCTTATCATTTGCAACCACAGCTTTCATTCCAGTCAATTATATGAAGCACAAAAGCTGTGAATCTCTTGTTATTCCTTAAGAAACAAAAAAGGTTTTACAACTGTGACCTCTATAAAATACAAATTATCATTGATTTCTTCACGTATCAACCTCACAATAATGGATGCACAAAAATTTTAATTTGTAGTATGGTTACTTAGCTGTTCATGAGCTAATTTCGATCAATTTCTTGTTTTTTGTTCCGTGAGATCGACAGGAACGGCTTTCAAGATGCCTTTTTATCTCAGAAATGAGGTCTATCTGTCGATTAATTACACATTCATCTCTCTTGTGATCAATTGTTGTCTTGTTGTATGCTGTTTTTCATATTTGGAACTGGTTCAGAAAATGAAAGAAAATGGATTAATTTAAGAATGGATTTTCACATCCGAGAAAGACTATGCATATATTAAATTCAGAACAACATTGGATTGCGTTGAGATTTAATGGACTACTTGTCTAAGTAGCCGTAATTCTGGAGCAAAATGACAGTTAATCCTCTGCCAGCTAATAAATTTCATATATTTGCCATGAGTATGGTATAGGATTGAAGTAGCAAAACTTGAAATTCAAAGCTCGATGATTACTAGACATTACGTGCATAGTTTTTAGTTTATGCGAAGCTGCTAAGCTAAACTTGAACCCTCGCCTTTCATTGTGGGAAATGGTAATTTATAACTAGATGCCATATATGTGAAAATTACTAGCAGAACCGTTCCCATCAAGCATTGTGCTAACACCATATATTTGAGTTGTGAAGCCCAGGTCAATAAAGGTCTTCCGTTTGTTTGGATGTAAAATATTTTTTAAAAAATATATATTTTTTAATATTTTTGGTATTTGGTTACTTTAAAATCTAACAAAAATAATTTATTTATCAAATTAGTCAAATTATTTTACACGTTCTACCCGGTAAATTCGGCCGCGACCTTGACCACACTTTATTTAAAGAGAATAATGTTAATGAATAGGTGTGTTTCCCTCCCGACATCCCACGCATACAAGTGGGACCAACGCATACATTTAGTAACGATCTTTGTCATATCTGCAGGCTGCATGTTTGTCACTGATATTAGTTAGACAGGTGAGGGATGGGACTATACTGAGAGTAGAAGCCAGACCTCAAAATATTGCCGGCAATGCAGGACCACTGTACCAGTGTTGATTTGTTAATAAAATTGTAAAAATGTCAACGGTGGAGGGATCGATATTCAAGTTGGAAGATGACGATGCATATATAGGGGTGTGTTGTTTGCTGCCGGCCGGCCGGCCGGCCGGGTTGTTTGTATTGTAGTAGTGACAAGAGGAAGAGAAAAAGTGGTCAAATTTAAGGTCTATCTTAACAACTAGATGCCAATCTTCCACGGCTAAAAGTAAAATAAATGATCTATCAGTTGCCCCATTCAACTTTGTCTCATGTCACAACCCAGAAAGTGATTGAAAACAGCGTCTGAAATTGCATTATCTCAAACCATAGAAGCTAATCCTGTCACTTTCTATGTGGGAACACTTCCACGGCGTGCAATTGCTGTTTCTAGTCAACAACACTCATTGCCATGGCACACTTCAATTTCTTGGGCCATGTTCACTTCCAAAATATTTATTGATTATTTTTTAAAATTCACTCAATTTTCTCATTTCATTTGAAGAATTCACACACACACACATCATAGACTCATAATCTTATCATCGGATACGCGAAATATCGATCAATATACGATCATTTTTCAAGTTCGATACACGATTCGGCCAGTTCGATACACGATTCGGCCAGTTTATACTTGTACCGCGATCATAACTGATACCGTGATCATTATGGATATTACGAATCATAATACATATATACTACCTATGTCCCTTTATAATTGTCCAAATCCATAGTGCACAATTTTTAAGGTAATAAGGTAACAATTTTTGTTATAGTTTATTATACTGGTAAATGATGTATTTCCAAATTTACCCTTCCCTAAAAATTTGTAAAAGTAGTGTGAAAAAGTTATTTTTAATAGGGTCCACTTATTACATTAGTAAAAGTAGTATGAAAAGGTTATTTATAATGAGGTCCACTTATTTTGAAATTTTAATTAGTTTAATTTTTTAAGAATAAATTAGGAATGTAATAAAAAATAGTATATTGATTTTTGAGATATGACAACTAAAATGGGAAAGTAAAAAATGAAATAATGAAATATTAATATGGGACGGATCGGGTATTAGTTTGACAAGAAACTCACATGGATAATAGTGCAATTATCCATGCAGATTTAAATTCTGGACCACCATTGAAAGGTACAGAAACAGTAAGTGTTGGAAAAAATCATATGGAGATTTTGGACAATTTTTCAAAGGTAGTGGGGCAGAGGAATAAGGTTTGCTCATATAAAAGTCAAATGTAATAGATTATTAAGTTTCTTGATATGTGATTCCAATTCCAATGAGTTGTATTTTTTAATTTTTTTTCTTTCTAGAATGCAATATTTTTATGTTCCTGGTCAAATATAATATGAACTGTAATAAAATTTAAAAAGAATTAATATATTTATTTATGTGTTGGAATATAATTAATCAACATCACGTAGTCTCACACCATATATAATTACTTTTTAAGATTATAATTCAAGAGTTCGTAGAATGAAATTCATGTAACCAATCCAAATGGTTAGAAAAAAGTACTTATTATTGTTATTATCAATTAATTTGAAATGAATAATGTTATAAATAAGCTTTTCATATTTTTAAGGGAGGCTCCAATCTAGCTCTTTTAATAGCAATAATCTTATGAAAGTACAGTATCATAATGTAAAATTTTAATATTAAAACTTTTGAATTTAAAAAAAAAAAAAAAGTGTGTGAGTAGTTAATATGGATTTATCATAAAGCCGTATAAGAATATTCAAACTTGAATATAAAAATCTCAAGGAATCTAATATTTGATGCACTAGTATTATCCCAAACAAGTTGTTATGCAACCAAATTCATACTACTGTCATCAAATCCCACACCCTCCTAGTCCTAAAAAAATATAAAAACAAATTAAAAAAACTGCTGCAAGCTGGAGAGCGAGCTATACACACATAAATAAAAAACTCAGCTCTCACACACCTTCACAACGCCATTCCACACAATCTTTGAATTCCCAAATCTCCTCTTTTCTCTCTCTCTAAACACATCCATCGAATCATGGGTTTCCAAGGAGACGAAGAAGTTGGGACGACGCCGAGCCAAGTCGCCGGAAAATCATCCATGTTCAGGTACAATTCGCCCCTTGTTCAGGTGGGTCTTATCGGACTGGTGTGTTTCTGTTGCCCTGGCATGTTCAATGCCCTATCCGGTATGGGCGGTGGTGGGCAGGTCGACCCCACGGCGGCGAACAACGCCAACACCGCCCTCTACACCACCTTCGCCGTCTTCGGCATCCTCGGCGGCGGAATCTACAACATCTTGGGCCCACACCTCACCCTCTTCTCCGGCTGCTCCACCTACGTTCTCTACGCCGGCTCCTTCCTCTACTACAACCACTATCACCACCAGTTGTTCGCCATCATCGCCGGCGCATTCCTCGGCATCGGCGCCGGCCTCCTCTGGGCCGGACAGGGCGCAATCATGACCTCATACCCACCCGCCCATCGGAAGGGCACGTACATCTCTATCTTCTGGAGCATTTTCAACATGGGTGGTGTGATCGGAGGACTCATTCCTTTTATCCTCAATTATAACAGAAGTGAGGCTGCTTCGGTCAATGATGGAACTTATATTGGATTCATGGTGTTCATGACCATAGGTACTGTTCTTTCCCTCGCAATTTTGCACCCTAGTCGTGTTATTCGTGACGATGGTAGTCGATGTACTAACATAAAGTACTCCAGTATATCAGTTGAAGCCATTGAAATTCTCAAATTGTTTTTTAATTGGAAAATGTTATTGATTGTCCCTGCTGCATGGGCAAGTAACTTCTTTTACAGCTATCAGTTCAATAATGTTAATGGGGTTTTGTTCAATTTGAGGACTAGAGGTTTGAACAATGTGTTCTATTGGGGTGCACAAATGTTGGGTTCAGTTATGATTGGGTATGTCTTGGATTTTAGTTTTAAGAGTAGGAGGATGAGGGGATTTGTTGGAATTGGAATTGTTGGTCTGCTTGGGACTGCGATTTGGGGCGGTGGGCTTGCGAATCAGCTCGGCTACTCCCACAAAGATCTGCCTCAGAAGCTAGACTTCAAGGACTCTGGTTCTAAGTTTGCAGGACCATTTGTGTTGTATTTCAGTTATGGGTTACTGGATGCTATGTTCCAGAGTATGGTTTATTGGGTAATTGGAGCATTGGCCGATGATTCTGAGACCCTTAGCAGGTAATTGGATCACTACTTTTCCAAATTGTTGCACGATTTTAGTTCAAAAATTGTACAGCTAACATGGTGATGGTTTTTAACAATTGTTGCAGGTATACTGGATTCTATAAGGGAGTTCAGAGTGCAGGGGGAGCAGTTGCTTGGCAGGTGGATACACACAAGGTTTCATTCTTGTCCCAACTGGTTATGAACTGGTCACTCACTACAATAAGTTATCCATTGTTGGCGCTTCTCATCTTTCTGGCTGTAAAGGATGACACAAAAGCTGAACAAGAGTCCTCTAAGGAAGTTGCTCTTCCAACCGCTGATGATAAGCTTAGCAAGTAATTTAAAGATCAATTCGCTTATTTGTGTCATTTTTTTTTCTTGTCTTGTCTTCTTCTGGTGGTGTTGTGTTCTCTGTGCTGTTAGTTATATTTTTGGAAGTGGAATTCTATTGAACTGTAAATGATTGCATAAAGGTGATTGAAATCCAAGCTTCGTGAAGGAATTTTCTTTGTAGATGTATTTTCACTTGTCTTTATTTATGAATTTTGTTCACGTGTTCTCAAGAGTTGTTCTCAATACATAAAATTCTTCTAGTTTGCTTCTGTCTGATTGAAAAACAAATTTTCCCCTTCCCTTGCCTGAAAAGTTATGGAATTTTACCTGCTATGGTCAGTTTTATGAATTTTGAAGTATGGAAAAACAACAAATAAGGACAATATGGTAGGGATGTTAAATCTCCGGTTCTCATATTCGGAGTTTTTACACTAATGCATGGAGCAAGTGGTTGCCTAGGAGGATATATAACACCCTTTCAAGCTTTATGGGAAAATGGTACATCAGTAGCAAGCCATACTAATACATACCTTCTTATATCCCCATTTTATGACTTTGTAGACTTGTAGATTATGGAACTAGTGATGAGAGAATCATTTGATATTCAGCAGAAGACATGTATCTTAATCCTTATATATTAATTCTAATACATAGCTTCTTATATCCGCATTTTATGACTTTGTAGACTTGTAGATTATGGAACTAGTGAAATATAGTCATTTGTGAGCACTGGAATTATGATAATCTGACGATCATAAATGGTTTCTAGCAGAACACCATTACAGACAAGTTAGTATGAATCTAGGGAGATTAGTTGCTGTAAAAATCTTTGTGCTCGATCTCTTTATAGGATCATATCTAAAAACTATGGGGCTTCTCTAGTTATTCCGTCCTTTATCCAAAATGCTTTTTTCTTTTTGGTAAGTCTCTCTCTTTGGAGCACTTGATGTTGCGACAAGTATTTGCCCCGCAATAGAGATACAAATGCCATTGTTTTCTGCTATTATTGGTTTTGGATCCATGTTCCACAATCCAGGGCCTGAGGTTCAAGGGCTTGGAGCTAGAGAGACCACTTATTTGAACATCAATGTGGAAAACAATCTGATGTTACTTTCAATATGGCATGTTTTTTTCTATTAGGTTCCAGTTTCTACCTTATTTTTATGCTTATAGGTAAAGATGGTTAATGCAGGATGGTTTTAGTGGAGCAGTTCTTTTGGCATGCTTTATGATCACGAATACTTCTAAAATTGAAAGATAAATTTTATAAACAGTTATTAGACTGGTTATATTTTACGAATCAGAATATTGGGCAATTAAGAAATAACATATTTGTAAAATGAGAGTGGCCGAAATGGGAATGTTGAGATGGATATGTAGCATCAATAGAGATAAAATGTGACAAAATTAATTAAGGAGGAGTAATGTGGGAGTGATGTGAGGGAAAGGCTTAACTAATGTAGCTGAGATAGTATGGAAAGACATGTAGGAAACCTAAATAGCAGGTAGTTTGAGTGGGCAATGACAGAATATGAATCATGTAGCGAACCCAAAAAATGGAGAAAAACGTGTTTGTTGAGTTGAGTAGAAAAAATGGTTAGTTTCGACTCCCCATGCTGTTATGCCACTCATCTGAGCTCTTGACCCCATGCCACTCTTCTCTTTGAGAGGGGGGGTTACGATGCTTTTGAGTTTTTCTCATTCTTTTCACCTAAATATGGTATATTTCTGATCGTAGTAGGATTCATTAGATAACTAAGCAAATTAACTTATTGAACCGGTCAACATTTTTGGTTGTCAATGGGTTTGGTCTTAGTAGGAATAAGATTCTTGACACTTACTAGTTTTGCCTAGTCGATGTAACTGTTAAGGTCTAAGAATTTTGATTAATAGAATTAACAGGGGGTCACTCCACCTGCAATACTACTACTACTAAGCATGAAGTCAAATGCATGAGCAACGAGGTCTTTTTTTTCCAGTTATATACTAAACAGGAATCTTGGTACACGACGTATGTGTCGGTAGACGATCATTTTTTAAGTCCGGTACGTGACCCGTATTGACTAGTTTACACTAACTTTGTCTGAGTCCATTATACCATGATCGCAACTAATACCGTGACTGCGAATCATAATATATTATATATATTACTTTGACAAAAAACTCACGCACTTTTACCCTACATAGATTTGAATTCTGGGCCTTTGTTGAAAGGGAAACAAATAGTTAGCAGTGAAAAAATTCATATGGAGATTTTGGACAATTTGTCTTTTCAAATGCAGTGGGTAGAGGGATAAGGTTTGCTCATATAAAAGTCCAATGTAATTAATAATGTGATCCCATTTCCAATGACTTGTATTTTAGATTTTTTTAGTAGAATGTAACATTTTTACCCTAATGTCCACGAAGATGATATCCTCCAAATAGTTATTACTAAAATTGGTTCACCTAGTTTTTTTTTTTTTTTTTTCTTTCCACAACTACCTGCTCTCGCTACTCATCACAGTGCAAGAAGCATTTTAAGTAAGAAATTTGTAGGGTTGGAAGAGAATTGAACACATACCCAAGTGCTAGATATGATTGTCTAGCACTTAGAGGCTCTCCTCCCACTAACTTTGCTGGCGCCCTTGGGGTCGATTCCACTTAGGTTACAATAAATTATTATATGATTTCGGTCTATTATAATTAGAAATGTTATAAATTTTTTAAAAAATTAATATATTTATTTACGTGTCGAATTATAGTTGACCGAAATCATATAATCTCACATCATATATAATAACTTTTTAAGATTATAATGAAGAGTTAATAAATTGAATTCATGTAGCGAAATCTAAATAATTAGGAAAAAGTACTTATCAATGTTGTTATCAATCAAACCATGTTACTTAATTTGAAATGAGTAATGCTATAAGTAAGCTTTTCTTCTTTTTAAGGGAGGCTCCAAACTAGCTCTTTTAATAACATTTAATCCATAAAGCCGTATAAGAATATTCAAACTTGAATATTAAAATCTCAAGGAGTGTTATAGAGGTTTTTTTTTTTTTTTTTTTTTTTTTGAAGTGAAGCTATTATAAAAATAGAGAAAGCTACAGAAAAGGCCTTTTGCCTAAACAAACCCAAGATATAAGGAATCATATAGTTGATGCACCTAGTATTATCCCAAACAAGTCGTTATTCAACCAAATTCGTCCAACTGTCATCAAATCCCACACCCTCCAAAAAAAATATAAAACAAATAAAATTAAAAATAAACTGTTGCAGGCTGGAGAGCGAGCTCTACATATATAAATAAAAAAACTCAGCTCTCACACCTTCACAACCCCATTCCACATCAATCGAATCATGGGTTTCCAAGGAGACGAAGAAGTTGGGACGACGCCGAGCCAAGTCGACGGAAAATCATCCATGTTCCGGTACAATTCGCCCCTTGTTCAGGTGGGTCTTATCGGACTGGTGTGTTTCTGTTGCCCTGGCATGTTCAATGCCCTTTCGGGTATGGGCGGTGGTGGGCAGGTCGACCCCACGGCGGCGAACAACGCCAACACCGCCCTCTACACCACCTTCGCCGTCTTCGGCATCCTCGGCGGCGGAATCTACAACATCTTGGGCCCACACCTCACCCTCTTCTCCGGCTGCTCCACCTACGTTCTCTACGCCGGCTCCTTCCTCTACTACAACCACTATCACCACCAGTTGTTCGCCATCATCGCCGGCGCATTCCTCGGCATCGGCGCCGGCCTCCTCTGGGCCGGACAGGGCGCAATCATGACCTCATACCCACCCGCCGATAGGAAGGGCACGTACATCTCTATCTTCTGGAGCATTTTCAACATGGGTGGTGTGATCGGAGGACTCATTCCTTTTATCCTCAACTATAACAGAAGTGAGGCTGCTTCGGTCAATGATGGAACTTATATTGGATTCATGGTGTTCATGACCATAGGTACTGTTCTTTCCCTCGCAATTTTACACCCTAGTCGTGTTGTTCGTAACGATGGTAGTCGATGTACTAACATAAAGTACTCCAGTATATCAGTTGAAGCCATTGAAATTCTCAAATTGTTTCTGAATTGGAAAATGTTATTGATTTTCCCTGCTGCATGGGCAAGTAACTTCTTTTACAGCTATCAGTTCAATAATGTTAATGGGGTTTTGTTCAATTTGAGGACTAGAGGTTTGAACAATGTGTTCTATTGGGGTGCACAAATGTTCGGTTCATTTATGATTGGGTATGTCTTGGATTTTAGTTTTAAGAGTAGGAGGATGAGGGGATTTGTTGGAATTGGAATTGTTGGTCTTCTTGGGACTGCGATTTGGGGCGGTGGGCTTGCAAATCAGCTCGGCTACTCCCACAAAAATCTGCCTGAGAAGCTAGACTTCAAGGACTCTGGTTCTAAGTTTGCAGGACCATTTGTGTTGTATTTCAGTTATGGGTTACTGGATGCTATGTTCCAGAGCATGGTTTATTGGGTAATTGGAGCATTGGCCGATGATTCCGAGACCCTTAGCAGGTAATTCGATCAATACTTTTCCAAAGTGTTGCATGATTTTAGTTCAAATATTGTACAGCTAACATGGTGATGGTTTTTAATAATTATTGCAGGTATGCTGGATTCTATAAGGGAGTGCAGAGTGCAGGGGGAGCAGTTGCTTGGCAGGTGGATACACACAAGGTTTCATTCTTGTCCCAACTGGTTTTGAACTGGTCACTCACTACAATAAGTTATCCATTGTTGGTGCTTCTCATCTTTCTGGCTGTAAAGGATGACACAGAAGCTGAAGAAGAGCCCTCTAAAGAAGTTGCTCTTCCAACCGCTGATGATAAACTTAGCAAGTAATTTAAAGATCAATTCGCTTATTTGTGTCATTATTTTTTTCTTGTCTCATCTTCTTCTGGTGGTGTTGTGTTCTCTGTGCTGTTAGTTATATTTTTGGAAGTGGAATTCTATTGAACTGTAAATGATTACGTAAAGGTGATTGAAATCCAAGCTTCGTGAAGGAATTTTCTTTGTAGATGTATTTTCACTTGTCTTTATGTATTAATTTTGTTCACGTGTTCTCAAGAGTTGTTCTCAATACATAAAATTCTTCTAGTTTGCTTCTGTCAGATTGATGAACAAAATTTCCTCTTCCCTTGCCTGAAAAGTTATGGAATTTTACCTGCTATGGTCAGTTTTATGAATTTTAAAGTATGGAAAAACAATAATAAGAACACTAATGCATGGAGCAAGTGGTTGCATAGGAGGATATATAACATCCTTTCAAGCCTTATGGGAAAATGGTACATCAGTAGCAAGCCATACTAACCTGGTTAAATGATTTTTAAGAAAATGCCAAAACAACATATTTAATTTAGTATCTATCAAGAAAAGGAAAATTAACAAAAATCTTTTGCTTTGTTATTTCAAGATAGATTTACCTAATGGATGTTGATATTAAGTTAGAAAACTCACTTTGTTATCATATGAAGTCTTTCTTGTTCCTTTTTCACTTTAATAAAATAACCATTGATGAGAGAATCATTTGATATTCAGCAGAAGACATGTATCTTAATCCTTATATAGTATTTCTAATACATAGCTTCTTATATCCCCATTTTATGACTTTGTAGACTTGTAGATTATGGAACTAGTGAAATATAGTCATTTGTGAGCACTGGAATTATGATAATCTGACAATCATAAATGGTTTCTAGCAGAACACTTTTACAGAAAAATATTATGAATCTAGGGAGATTAGTTGCTGTAAAAATCTTTCTGCTCGATCTCTTTATAGGATCATATCTAAAAACTATGGGGCTTCTCAATTTATTCCGTCCTTTATCCAAAATGCTTTTTATCTTTTTGGATGAGTCTCTCTCTTTGGAGCACTTCATGTTGCGACAAGTATTTGCCCCCCAATAGAGATACAAATGCCATTCTTTTCTGCTATTATTGGTTTTGGATCCATGTTACACAATCCCGGGCCTGAGGTTCAAGGGCTTGGAGCTAGAGAGACCACTTATTTGAGCATCAATGTGGAAAATAATCTGATGTTACTTTCAATATGGCATTTTTTTCTATTAGGTTCCAGTTTCTACCTTATTTTTATGCTTATAGGTAAAGATGCTTAATGCAGGATGGGTTTAGTGGAGGAGTGCTTTTGGCATGCTTTATGATCATGAATACTTCTAAAATTGAAAGATAAATTTTATAAACAGTTATTAGACTGGTTATATTTTACGAATCAGAATATTAGGCAATTAAGAAATAACATATTTGTAAAATGAGAGTGACCAAAATGGGAATGTTGAGATGGATGTTCTAACATAATGATAAAATTGGGAAAGAACGCCTTACTGAGACGATTGAAGTAGCATCAATTAGAGATAAAATGTGACAAAATTAATTAAGATGGTTTGGGGAAGATCAATAATTGCACCAATAAGGAAAGAGTGATGTGGGAGTAATGTTAGGGAACGGCTTAACTAAATGTGGTTGAGATAGTAAGGAAAGACACGTAGCAAACCTAAATAGCATGTAGTTTGACTGAGCAATGACAGAATATGAATCATGTAGCGAACCCAAACAATGGAGAAAAAGTGTTTGTTGAGTTGAGTAGAAAAAATGGTTAGTTACGACTCCCCATGCTGTTATGCCACTCATCTGAGCTCTTGACCCCATGCCACTCATCTCATTGAAGGGGGTCACCTTTACGATCAAAATTAAGATGGGAGGTGGCAGTTATACTTTTGAGTTGTTCTCGTTCTTTTCTCCTAAATATGGTATTTTTCTGACTTATCAAAAAAAAAAAAAAAAATGGTATTTTTCTGATCGTAGTAGGATTCATCAGATAACTAAGCAAGGTTCCTTCCTTTTGAACATAAATCAACTCCGGAACTGGTATTTGTGGAAGACCACCATATCATTTTCTCTCCTCGCTCTTGCACTTTTTACCTTCATATTTGATGTAACTATACAGTTATCTTTGATGCTTGGGCATGAAACCTCCAAGAACATTCAGAAAAAGTACATTGATGTTACTTATTTGTTACCAGGTGCTTTTAGCAAATGCTTAGAAAAGATTCCTATTCTTATATTCGTTTCACTGAGAAGGTGTTTGAGATGCTTCCTTTCTCATGAGAGCAAGGGTAAGTGAATCTGTTAGTGTTTTCGTGTGAAGTTGATTCCCTAGAATGAATAAATAATTACATTTGAGTACTGGGAGTAAGAACAATTTTGGAGCAGATGCAGAGAAATAGACTTGTGGTTTTGTAATATGATTGTTCCAAATATTGTTACTGTAAGTTTGTAACTTACGTGTCACCCTAAGTAGTCACCATGAATTAATAAATTGTTCGGATAATTTTAGATTGGCCAACTTTTAGTAATCTTGGTGTCATAGTAAGTCTTCAAGCCCTGTTTTCAACTTTGCATTAAATTTACCTTCTGGAATATATTGCCTGGGATGCTTTTTCTGGACAATAGAGGCATTAACTGGTTGGACTTAATTCAAGGAAAGTGTCATTTGTTCTCTTTCAAACGCGGGAAGGGCTGACTACTTGTCACCTTATGTGTCTACTATCCGCACAATTATTTTTATTATTATTTTTCTCTTATTCAATGATAAATATAGAGTAGTTTGTACTCTTTACATTGGATTTGGACTTTGGAAGTCATTATGTTGGCATACATAATGGAAAGAATCTAGTGCATGTAACGTAATTCTTGGTTGCCCTGAATGCATGCAAATGTGTTAAGGTTAGGAGTTCAGAAGAGGAGTGACTATCCCAACTCTTTGTACTACCAAGTTTAGCCATGATTGAGTTATTGTCAGAGTTGAAATTGGTTTACAGGGCAAATTAACTTATTGAACTGGTCAACATTTTTGGTTGTCAATGGGTTTTGTTCTTAGTAGGAATAAGATTCTTGACACTTAATAGTTTTGCCTAGTCGATGTAACAGTTAAGTCTAAGAATTGTGATTAATAGAATTAACAGGCGGTCTCTCCACTTGCAATACTACTACTAAGCATGAAGTCAAATGCATAAGCAACGAGTTCATTTTTTTTTTTTTGTTATATACAGAACAGGAATCTTGGTTAGATTCATATATGGTCCATCTTTGAAAGAAAAACCAATTGTCTTTGTGTGAAGGCCACAATAACATCCAGTCATGGTTGTTATTGAGCTAAGGTACTAGTAGTCAGAATAAGTTCCCAATATATCAACTTTCAAATATTCAATATTTCATCTTAAAGGATCCGCCTCTTATGCAGAATGTTTGTCAGGGACGTCTCTTAAAGTCTTACGACAATGCCTAGAACAGAACCATGTTGAGCTTACTTGCTAGCAGAAGTTCAGGAAAGGTCAGTCATAAAGGCCTGCACAAAGGGACAACACAATCAACTTTTGCTCAACAAGCTGGAAAACATATCAATTCTTGGTGTGGGACTGCTGAAAGGCGCCGTAGTACATGTGACGGTATTCTTGAATGATTCAATTTGGGAACTTGTACCTTCATTTGCTGGTAAGTTTGAGAGAGAGTTTTTCTAAACATGAGTAGTAAAAATTGCAATCAGTTTTATTTGGCATGCAATATTTGAAATCATCTTTGCTAGTATCATAAGAAGGCCGTTGTGAGGCTGTATTTTGTTTCATTATTACTGCTTAGATTTTCAGCCATTACATTGGTTCCAGGATATGAACGTACTGCAGATAGCTTTCATTCTAATAGTTCAATTCTATTTTGTTACAAGGTCTTAAGTTTTCTAGTGAGTATGATTCGATCAATGTTATCATCTAACACAGAAATGAACTCATGTAGAGGCTTTTAGTCTTGAGCTTTTGATTCGTAAAATTAATAATTTAGAAATAGAAATTTAGCAATAGATGAATATTCATACGTATAATACAATATGAATAAAGGTGAACATATGCCCCAATAAAAAAATCAAATTCTATTATTGTCCATTCATGCTTCGAGCTTTTCTGTTTTCTGTCTTATACAGTAAATCTAACGGTCATCACACTGTAACAAGTGGTGCATCACTTTTGTCTTCTGAGCTCAGAGCAACAACATCAACCTTTGGCTTTTCTGCAACATCTTCTACTTTTTTCTCCTCTGCTGGCTCAGTTGCTTTAGCAGCCTCAACTTTGTCGTTTGTTGGCTTGGCAGTCACCTCACTTGATTCGGAGGGTATGCTCTCCCTAGAAACAGCTTCTGCTTCGACAGTCTTGGATTCAGAGGATGTGCCTTCACTGTTGGGAGCCTCCTGAGAGGGTGTGCCTTCACTGTTGGGGGCCTCCTGAGCTGGTTCAGAATGATCTACCAAAGGCTCTTCCTTCGTAACCTCACCTCGGTAGTTGTTCTCCTGCATATTACCAATGGCAACGAATTAGAAACAAATAACAAGATCATGTGAGACGTGAAGATACCCATTACCACAAACAACTTGAGTTTTGACACTTGGTAAAAGAAGACATGACTCGAGTCTCTGGTACTGACATCCAAGAGACTTTACCAATTATGAAAGGTTTTATAGAGGTAGGGTTGTTACTTCCGGAACAGTGGCCTTCTTGGGGCTGTCCGGTGCCTCTCTAGGGATCGGCTCTGGAAGGTCATCCAACAAAGCTTTGGGTTTGCTCGCACAGCCTCCCATGATTGTGGAGCACAGGGCGGAGGTTAGAGTAAAAGAACAATATGGGAAGCTTATTATATATATGTTATGCAAAATGAGTAGTTAATTTAGTTGAGGCTGTGAATGAAGAAAGAGGAGGAGGAAAGATGTTATATAGGTGGACTATTAACAACGACATATTGTTGGGGACAGCAAGCTCTTATAAATTTTGAAAATGGGAAGACCTATTTGTGGTCAATCTGTGTTGTGTGACCTTGTTGTCATACCTACCATCATAGATTTCGTTGGCGCATTTCATGGTGGGAATTGGATTGCCCGTATTTGGAAATTATGACAGTTGAAGAAGACCTCCAAAACTCTGGAAATTGTTTCCAAGATTCATGTTTGCCGTTAGTTGTTACATACCCCAACTCACTATGCATTAGCATGTGTAGTATGTACTTCTCAATTATGAGTAATGTTACAATGTCCGAATTTAATCTTTTGTCGACTTCAATAAGTAAATTAATGTTGAAATGACTCTTACTTTCTTAGAGTATCTCCGATCGTATATATATATTTTTTTGTAAATATATTGTATCATAATAGATTTACACAAAAATTTTGAATTATTTATTTTTGATTCCAACTGTTGTATTATATTTTTTGTGTAAAAATATATCCCCCAATAACAACCAATCCGTGTTATGCCTGGATCCTAAAATACACAACATTTACACATTAGTGATGAAGCAACGTATCTTAACAGATGGAGATAAAAAAAATTTACACAACAATTTTAAACATTAATGATGTGGCATTGTATTTTAACAAAATTTTATATATCATAGGTGCAGCGAATTTTTTACACAAGGAGAGTGTTTTAACATATTGCTTGTGTCTATATCATTTTAAAGTATTGTTAAGTTATTGCCACGTCAGTTGATAGAAACTTTTATTATCTTCTTTCAATTTTATAAAAGAAAATGCTTATAAAATGCTTTGAATAGTTGTGACCTCTGCAGTCGTATATTTTACATTGCAACAGGTACAATGATGCTTCATTTGGATAATCCCTACTGAACAAAAATATGAACATATCTCCTCGAGTTTGAATCTCACGGAACATATTGTGAGAAATGAGTGTTTGTTTGTTTTAACCTAAAAAGTAAAATAATAAATAAATAAATTGTGATCAATAAATTTTTCGTATATATTTCTTTTCATTATCACCAATATATAAAATTGTTGTGTATTTTTACATTACTTTTTTACACTATCACATCAGCATATTTCCTTTTTCTTCATTCTTTCTCGTTCCACTAACGAATCTACCCTATATTAAGTATGTTTGTAAAAATTATGTGGGATACAGGCAGGACACCTATTAGTTATTATTGGAAATATATTTTTATACAAAAGGTATAAAACAACCAAGTTAAAAATAAACAATCTAAAATGTAAGAAATTTCTTCACAATTTTAATTTTTTTTAATATAAAATACTCATTAAAACTCATAATGATTCATATATATATATATATACTATTCTTAAAAGTGTAAGGAAATTGTTAACAATTTTGATTTTTTTTAATATTAAATACTCATTAAAACACATAATGATTCATAAATAATTTTTTTTAATGATAAAATAAAATATTTACCATAATAGTTCATGAATTACCCACTCTTTCACAAACGCATGGGATCACAAAAAAATCTGTTTCCGTTAATTTTCACTAATGATGGTTCACGTTCATTTATAACAATTTTGCTTTTAAAGTACATGATGATTCACATTCCTAACATTTACCTCTTAAGAGTTACTCAAGATGATTTTGCTTTCAAATTTCAGAACGAGTCATATTCGTAATGATTTTGCTCTTGATTATTCGTGGCTTGATGAAGATGAAACGGAAATATAGGTTTGTGCACACAAAAATCTATACTGCATCTTTTATTTAATTATATTTTTCAAACATAATGCTTCATATAAAACATTTGTCTAAACTTCTTGTTCAATTTGTACAATTTGGTGGTCAAGCTAACATTTTGCTCTAATTACCTATTTGTTATGTTTTTTTTATTGCGAATTTGTTAGGGGGGCTTAATTTCACTAGCCTTTGTTGCATGACAAAAATATCATTTGTTCAAAGAAACATTAGTGTAAATCTTTTGGTCGTATCAATAAGTTTATATTTCATTTTAGTTTCAATCTTATGTTCATAGAGCATAAAAGTTGATGTTTGATTGGATCGACCAATTCTGTTATATTATTTAAAGCATGCATAGTTGGTGTGTGTGTTTCATTCTAGCTCCATTTTTGTTTGATCTTGTTTCAGTGCTCATAATTTTAATGCTGCATAAAAAGTGAATTTAGGATTTTTGGTATTTCTCAAAATATAATTGATAATATCATGTCTATTTACATCCCCGTACCAAATGACGCGTGTATTAAACTCCCAATCTTTCATTTATATCCATATCAATTAATTAATATTATATTATGAATCTAAATAATAATTGATTTAATTAAAGTTTAATTCAAAAAATATTGTGTAGAATTCAAGACGTCTTTAGTACACAATAAATTAAAAGGCCATAAATTATTATAATTTGAAAAATAGATGAATTATTTTGAAAATAAACATATAAACTGAAAACATCAAATTTCTAGCAGGAATATTAATTATAAAATGTCTGATTTTTGTTATAATTCCGGTTGTATGTATCCTTTTTTTTTACCCTATTAATATACTATTTGCTTTGCCTTTCCCTAAATAAAATTAAAAATATATATATTAATAATCCTTTTGAAAAAAAGTATTATAATTATATATATATATATATATATATATATTAGACTGCATGCTTTACTCACGTGACATGAACTCCACTTTGGAATGTTCTCCACGTACACTCGAATTAGAAAATATTTTCCTTCTTCGTTTTCGTTTCATTCTTGCTTGGTTAAAAATGGTTTTGGTTAAACGTTTGACAACCAGATCGTATCGTCTTAACCAAATTTGGCTCTCTCTCTCTCTAAAATTCCTCTCACTCCATTTAAACCCTATAATTCCTTTCTTCCACCGAATGCATACCTATATTTCGGATATGGATTCAAACTTAGCGGAATCTATGATGCGCAATTGAAAAGAAAAAAAAAAAACTGAAGAAGACGACGAGGGAAGAAGGCGGGCTTTTCTTTCACAGAAGGAAAGGAAAGCTCGCCGATCATGTCGTCGGCGTTCTCAACAACAACATCTCCATTCACTCTTCTCCTCCTCTTCGCCGTCCTGATTGGCTCATGCTTTCCTTTCAACACCACCGCCGCCGTCCGATCAGAATCCAATTCAACAACCGTCATTCGGTTGCCCAGCGACCGAATCTCCGGCGACATCTGCGCCGGAAAAGTCACTCGGACGTCCTGCCCCGTCAATTGCTTCCGGACCGACCCCGTGTGCGGCATCGATGGCGTCACGTACTGGTGCGGGTGTGCGGACGCGCAATGCGCCGGCACTAGCGTGGCCAAATTAGGGTTTTGTGAGGTTGGGAATGGAGGAAGTGATACAGTCTCTGGACAGGCGTTGTTACTGGTTCATATTGTTTGGCTCATATTACTCGGCTTCTCTGTATTATTCGGCCTTTTATGATGAACCGAATTCTCTCCCGTGCCACTAAAAAAAATGTCCCGTGACAATGCAACAACAATTTTTCATAGCTGATTCCAATATATTATGTTGCGTAACGGGTGTTTTGTGTTGCATAAATGGTACAAGACGCAAAACCAAGATCTAGAAAACAAAAAAGGTGAACACGATTGATTAGATTATTCTCTGATTAAAAATTGAATTACTCCTTTCTGGGCTGTTTTGATTTGATGATTAGAGTGTATTTGAAACAAGGTCAGATGATTTGCTATATGGTAGTTCGTTGCATCTTTTGAATATACATACATATATGTATATATGTATATGTACATACATACCCTATGTATGTATGTGTTCATTTACGCTTTGCAAATGTAATAGGAAGCTTAATGTTTTTTTTTTTTTTTTTTTATTTTTATTTTTTTTTTTTATGTTTGGAATTAAAGAATTCATTTTTTCATGTATTTCTTGTTGTTTATTTATTTAAATTTGGAAGAACATAATTAAGAAAATGTAGAATAGCAAGTATATGTATTCGGTATAGTTGATTCGAATATATTATGTTGGGTAATGGGTGTATTGATGTGAACCTGATTTATTATTCTCTGATCGAAAATTGAATTACTTCTTTCTTTATTGTTTTGATTTGATGATTAGAGTGTATTTGAAACGAGGTCAGATGATTTACTACAGTATATGGTAGTTCGTTGCTTCTTTTTGATATATAAATATATGCATACATGCACATCTATGTATGTACCATGTATGTATTCATTTACGCTTTGCAAATGTAATAGACAGCTTAATGTTTTTTTGTTTTTTTTTTTCATTCATTTTTTTCTTTTTTGTTTGGAATCAAAGGATTCATTTTTTTCGTGTATTTCTTGTGACTCCAAGTTGTTCTTGTTGTTTATTTATTTAAATTTGGAAGAACATAATTAAGAAAAAGTAGAATATAGTATTTAACTCAGCCGGTATTTTTAGTTTTACAGAATTAAATTGTTTTATATAATAGATTCTTGGTTTTGGGTGTTAGCACCATTTTATAATTTTAAAGTTTTGAGCGAAATTGTAAAACATTCAAGAATGACAAAATAATATGAAAGTATATCTAATTTATGATGTCACAACAAACATTCACCACCAAAACAATTTACTCTTTTCCGACACTACTAATGCCATTTAGCTTCTCCCTTCACAACGACAATTTGAACGTGGCTTGTTATTTTTGTATTTTATAATTAAACGATGACATTGAATAGTTTCATGCTGATAATTCATTAATGCTTCTAATTCATTGTATATTATGGACAACATTGTATGAACATTATATATATGTTTGAAAGAATTACCATCAAAATTCTACCTTTTCTATTAAAATTCTATAGATTCCCTTTGAGAATAATGAGTCGTATTTTTCATTTATATCCTTACTAAATTAAATATAAATTTTAGGTTCAAAGTTTCATTTATTTGACAAAATTATATATATAATTTAATTAAAAGAAAAGGAAACATTTTATTCACTTTTTTATTCAATATTTAATTTCTTATATTTTTTAAAGTTGTCGTGAATTCTACACAAGATTTTTTAATTGAATTTTTAAAATTAAATTAATTATGTTTATAGAAAATTTAGATTATATAACAATTGTTCAATTTGTAGTTACAAAATTTACTTCTACTTAATAAGGTTATAAATGATTTAGAACTTAACCTTATTGGTTCGAAAGAAATTTTATAGGATTTATGTCTTTTAATAAGAAAAAGAGGATTTGATAATACTTTTTCCGTGTATAAGCTTATAGAGACTTATGAATCCACCAAGCTGGTTCGAGAGACATATAAATGCTAAATTGTGTGTTGTAACTCATCGAGATGGTTCAATTTTTTATTTATTTAATTTTTCGGGAAGGCAAGTTTTATTTTTTAAGGATATATGATATACCTTGCAAGTCCGTTTATTTTGGCATAAACATTTTATGGTAAATGTAAAACATTTTATATGAGAAAATTATTATTATTATTTTTTATTTTCTTTGGTGCACTTGTTGTTTGGTTTAAATTCTGAAAATTACTTTTCAATTCTTAGAATATGTTGAATACACACTCGTATATATAAGAGGAACAAACTTTATTCAAACCCATGTAACTTGTTTTGCATAATTTATCCTTTTTTATTTTATTTTTGCTAGATTAGCACATGAGTTCCAAACTATTTTGTCCACATTTTACGTAAAATCGTTTAAATTATATGATTTGTTCTTATGATTTGATCCGATTTTATAATAAAACGGTTCAATATTGATTAGGGTTCAATATCGATTTAAAGTCAAGAGGAACAAATCCAAACATTAGCGTAAATATATTCCAAAAAAATCAATATAAAAAATACAAACTACATGTTATTAATTTGTTTAACGTGATATCATTAAATTATTGACATGTAATTTTGCAATATGTTTTTACATATGGGCAGAGCCAGGGAGATTTTCTAAGTCATTTTCTTCTAACTCTAGAGTAAAATATTTTTAATTCGGTATTTTTATTTATTTATTTTTTCACTTTGAGGTAATCAACAAAAGGATAGCAAAAACACCGTATAGGTTCTCAAATTCAATCAGGGAGTGATTACTCAGTCATCTCTTTCTCTTACCTTCTATGCAAACTACTCAGATCTATTTTTTCTAATTTTAACATTAATCAGAGTTTTTTTCCTAGAATCTCCATCTATTTTTTTTCCTAATTTTAACACTAATCAGTGTTATTCCTAGAATCTCTTCATGCTTTGGTAAGTATATCTTTCTTAGTCACCCATATCATACGCTCAATAATTATGTCATTACAGACGCACTGCGCTATTCCTAGAATCTCCAACGCAGTTACCCACTTGCCATCTATCATCTGTTCAATCTAGGGAACTGTTTTTATATCATCTGGTCACGGGACGAGTTCTGATAAATATCCACCCCGCCCCCGCCTAACTTTAACCTAAAGACCCCAAAGTTTACAACACAAATCAGAGCGGCGCATCCCTAAGGCAGTGCAGTCACCACTACCCGCTGGTTCACCACTTCACCACATCCATCTATCTCCGGCAGCTCAAAGATGAACAATTCATCTCTCATTCTTTATCACCCCCACTATTCATCTATTTCTTTTGTACATTTTTTATTTATTTATTTATTTGAAGGATCGCTGCCGAGTTCAGATAGTTGAATTCGAGTCCGGGAGTGGCCTACTGTTTAGATCAATATAGAGAATTCAAAAAGTGCCCATGTGCAAGAAAATGGAGATTCAGAGACATGGTATGAAAACTTTTCATAATGCCCGTACTCGAAATCACCATATACCATATTTTCATGAGCTGAGATCACCATATATCAAGCTTCATGGATCAGAACAGAACCAACTACTAAAAGTAATGATGTAAAAATTTTGAGTAAGGTTGTCGAAACCAACCACATCGTTTTAAAGGTCGGTCTCGTAATAACGCAAAATTGTATATTCCGCTTGAGCAAGGTTCATATAGAAAAGGCTTCCAAATGGACTAAGGGTAGAAAGAGAACAAACAACCAATGTCATGAAAAAGAAACCAACTACGACAAATACCTACTCCTACCAACTAAATCATTCTTCCTGGACTATTCTTCCTTTCTCACTAACATAGATACCATCAAGAAACTTCCGGATATCTTTGTTCTTAACGTGACATTTCTGTAAAGACAAATACAAAAAATCTCAGTAACTGCAATTTATGAGGAGCAAGTCAAAACAAACACATACGATCTGTGCATGCGCGAATATAAATGAGGGTGTTTTCCTTTTTCCTTTTAGGGAAAGGGGGATTACCTGGTTTATCAGTGCACAAGACCGAGAAACAAGTTCGATGTCATTCCCATCCAATACAAGTTCATCTTTAACCTTTTCTGAACGGTTAATTGAAACCCCATCAAGCATATCCACTTTTCTCACCTGATGCAATCAACAAAAGTACTATAAGATCCCTTGTGGGAAGGTAAATCTGGTCTAAGGATGGAAATTAGCACAAGGGTATATATCCAATTGAAGGCAGAATTTAAAATTAGAAAAACAAAACCGACCTAAATCATACCATTGCCAAAGTTAACACGAGAAATAAGTAGAGGACCTCATTGGCCCTCAAAAGCAGTATCCTTTAAGGATCCAAAAACTTTGAAGGCCTTTCACTAACAGAACCTGCAATGTTACAGATGCCAAAAATACAGACCTACGGAACAAATTTATGAATTGCCATTTGATGCTTCCAAGTATTTGCATCAGATTGAAGCAGTCCATTGGCAAAAACATAACATAGGTTGCCAAATTCAATCAGCCAGTGTCAGTAACTGAATCTGCAAGCCTCCCCGACAACCTCTATGTTTTTGCATGTACTAGCACGGCATGCATAAACCTCTGTATTCATTTTCTTTTTTAAAATCAACTAACACAATAAAAATATATATCCAAATGCCCACCTAGCACCCAACACAATAAAGAAATATATCCAAATGCGCACCTAGTTTGTGCCTTATGCATTCCCGTTACCATTTACATTGAAATTTTAGGATTCTATTTTGGATAGATAGATTGCCACTGTTCCAAATCAGTGTATAAAATGATAAAAGAAAGAATCAAGTGTAAGCCTAAGTCAAATGAGGTAAATCCCACGTCGGAGAGAGAATCGAGAAGGTGCCGCCAAAGAATTTGAAAGGTTAGTAAAATGAACAGTCACACATTAATTAGAAATAAATAAAAATACAAGTAAATAACAGGCCTATAGAATTTTAAATGGATGCCAAAGAGTCAGTCTTCCATCAATTAGAAGCAAATATAAGTTTACAATAAAATACAAACAAATATCAAACCAATGGAATTAAAAAGAATGTAAATATATGATTAATTATTTATTAAAAATGTATATAAAAAATAAAAATAAAAACTATTGACAATCATAGATAGATAGATGAGTAGATAGATTGGCAACACCAGCGAAATTAATAGATTGAATGTAAAATGTTTGGAATAAATCAAACTTATGCAGCATGATAATCTTCATCTAAAAACAAATTTAAATATGTAGATAATACTTATAGAGAGGAATGAATGTCAACTACTGATAGAACACAATAAATTTAGTAATCTATCACTGTATACAAAAACTCAAGTTTGGCATGCCTAAACCATCAACGGGACAAACACTTTCAAGGAAAAGGACCGGAAAACATTCTTAACTTTTCCGATCTCATGTAAATTTCTAATAACACTAGAAAAAATCAAAATAAAATATCCAAAATACATAAAATCAAATTAAGATCAAATTAAGCAATTTCACATATCAAACAACCATGTTACATTAAATCAATAGTAATTCGGCATATTGAAATAAATCATATCATACACCGTATCATAATCAAATGAAGATCAAAATCTAAGCAATTCCTCATATTAAACAACCATATTGCAATAAATCAATCAAATGTGTGTATGTATGTGTATAATAACAGAATATTAACGGGAGGTAAACCTTCTTCTCGCCGAGGAAATTACGGATCTCGATGGACTTGTTGGTGTTGGTGATGCTGGCGTTGATGGGAAAGTGAGCATAGACGAAACGCATCTTGTAGCGGTAGCCATTGGTGACGCCGGTGATGAGGTTCTCGACGTGGCTGAGGGCGGTGCGTATGGCGGCGGTGGTCTTGCGAGAGCCGAACCAGGCATCGATCTTAAGCTTCTTCTTTCCGGTTTCCTCGTCAGTGATGAGCTCAAAGTCGAGGTTGAGGTGCTTGAAGTTGCGGCTAAGTTTGCCTCGAGGTCCTTCCACTTCGATGATCTTCGCCTTCACTTTGATCTTCACCCCATCGGGGATGTCCATTGTCTCCGATGACAATATCGTCTTCATCTCTCTACCACCTGTCTCTCTCTCTCCAGGCGGACTGAGTCTGAGAGGCAATGATAAACCCTAGTTCTTAGAAAATGTGTGTATATAAATACTGAAGCCTGGTCTCAAACGCCTCGACTGTGCTCTGTGGAAACCTAAACCCCGAATTGCCCTCACAGGATGCGTTTAGTCTTTAGAGACTGAGAGGTCTGGACTTAAAGTTAAAATAATGGGCCGATCCATATGGGATGGTCTTCCTGCTTTGTTGTTTCCTTTTAGCTGAGAGGCTCAACGCCAACGTGGGGTTGACCCAATTTCTTACAGAGCTACGGTAACGGGCTACCCCATCCGAACTCGCAATGCTCTAATTACGATCGGGGCTGCTCTACTTATCCAATTGAACTCAAGACTCTTCCGACTAGACGTTTGGCGTAACATTATATGAAAGATTGGGTCTAGCGTAATACAATTTTAATCATTAGATCATTATCATCCAAAAAAAAAAAACAAAGAACAATAAAGAGGATCCTAGGCAAAAAAGCATAAAACCCCCCTCAAGTATCAAAAATTAGCATTTTACCCCCCTAAACTACAAATTGAGCAAGTCAGTCCCTCAACTATCAGAAATGATCAATTTCACCCCCGGCAGTCCTTTCCAACTCATTTCCGGTCACCGTCATTGTACATTTACAAAAATGCTCATTATAATTAACATTTTAAAAAAGGCAAATAAAATTAAAATTGGGAAATACCATCAATACCCTCATGTTAATACATCACCTCACTCTTCACAGTTCACTCAAAAAATTTAAAGAGAGAGTAGAAAGAGAAAATGGGTAAGGGATGGATGTTTCATGGTGGTGTTGGTGGTGAAGAAGAGAACTTGGCAGCTTGACTTGTTAGTATCAATACCATCAAAATTCAGCCTTTCAAGCTCCCTCCTCTGGGTATTAATCTTCTTAAACCGAATATGACTTGCAAGGTGGAGAAACTCAGTGGCACAAAACCGGCAAGACCAGGCCGGTCATAGTTAGTGGTAAATAGAAAGGGTGTAAGAAAATCCTAGTTCTCTACACAAACTTTGGTAAGAATATAAAACCCGAAAAAACCAATTGGGTGATGCATCAATACCACTTGGGTCAACATGAAGAAGAGAAATTAAAAAGGAGAGTTTGTGGTATCAAATATATTCTATCAAACTCAGCCGAGGCAATGCAACTGGTATGACCTAGAGTTGAATAGGTGCACTCTCTCCCCGTTTTTTCTCCCTCTCTTTGACAAAGTATCTCATTAGTATAATGTTAATTCTTTGTCCAATGATGTTGTATGGTAGTGCCAGCACCTGTGAGCAGTGTGTTCTTAGACTGGTGGCATAAAAAGCATAGTTCTGCATGTCAGCAGGAAGCGCATGGTGAAATTCATCCTTGACGATAAGAGATTTAGTTATTTCGTGCCAAATCTCAAGAACCTTTAATTGCTCGAAGGAGATCCTCTATATTGGCAATGACCACAATCTCAAGCCTCTATTACAGTTTGTGGATATAGCTTAGCCCATTTGTGGTATCTGATATCAATGGGTTTAGTAGAATTGTAGTGTCTCAGGTCTGCCGGAAACTTTGTATGCGTTGAAGTTTTTCTATAGAAGATCTATGCTCTTTTTTTTGCAAAGTGGCTTATGTCGGCAAATGATACTGCAATTTTTTTGAGCTTTACTGCACATTTCTGCAAGGATTATTATACAACCCAGCAGATGATCATTCTGTGACTGGGTATTAAAACGGGTCACATTAATAATTTCTAATTTCTACACAACATGAATAGATTTCATTCATTAACAAATCGACTAATGTGGTGCATGAGGTTATCCAATCAGAGATAGATTTAACCATCAAATTCCACGCATATAAACAGAAATTCTACCAGATTACCTATAGATTTGAAAATATACTCTGCCCATTGGTGGTCCTTAACCATGAATATCCTAAAATGCAACCAACAAAAAAAATTCAAATGAATTAAAAATCAAGGCTACTTCCAAGATTTTTTATGACACTGCTCAAAGGACAACCTCTGCTTATACAAAGATATCACCACACAATTGTTAAAATGGAAAACATATATATGTATAGATTATATATGATATATATATATATATATATATATATATATATATATATATATATATACTATCATATATAATCTATACATATATATGTATTGCATCTATACATATATGTATTTCATCTATACATCTATATGTATTTTGGTACTATATATATATAAAGTACAAAAATACACACACACACACACATATATACACCCATCTGACCTTAACTTCTTCAACTTTAATGGAGTCTTTTTTTTCTGCACTTGGAAAGGGGAACAGTTGCAGTTGGAGGAAGAAGAAATGAATTTTGGACTTAATTTATAGACAGGGCTACAACGGTCATATTGAAAGGGCAGTTATAGAATTATATCAGAAAGTAACCTCACGCGCTCCATCTATGTCGGAAATGACTGCTAGGGGGTGAAACTGATCATTTCTGATAGTTGAAGCACTGACTTTCTCGATTTTGTAGTTCAGGGGGATAAAATGTTGATTTTTTTATACTTGAGGGGGGTTTTGTGCTTTTTTGCCTAGGATCCTATTTGTATTAAATAAAAATTAGGGTAAAGTACAACACCTCTTGAGATTTGCCAAAAGGACATACAGATGAAACTTAACTTATTTTAGGACAAAGGCACCCCCTAAAGTTTGATACGTTTGCCAAAGACACTCCAATGGTAATGAATTGACATTTTTGCCCTTTAACTTTTATATTGACCATGAAATGACGTTTCAAACCTTAGAAATCCATTCACATTTCTTTCTTTCTCTTCTCTCCTCTCCTCTCTGTTCTCTCTTCCTCCGCCCCAACACCAACACACACACACACACGTGTATATACAAATACATATATATATACACATAAACTCCAAAACCATGGATGTGATTACGAATTTTAACATACCAGCAATCAAGCATTTCCATTCAGCACTATACTTAATTGTGTATTATCTTACGGCTATTTTATATCTTATTTAACAAAATTATTAATGTAGAATTTTGGTTCTTAGAGGGCTTATAAATGATCCATGTTCCATGCCGGAGATATGACAAAATTCAGAGAGATGCAGATTTTAAAAATGCAGAAATTTTTATATTTTACAGGTGATATACCAAAGAAATATATAAAAGTGATGTATATGGAATTCAATCCACAACTAATATTTCTCTAACAAAAAGAAAAAATAAACTGGATTAAGGAGAAAATACACAGTAGATAAATAAGAGCCCTAACCTCAAGAGAATAATTTCACCCGAAACAATCCAGAATTCAATGTGGAGCAGAAAAAACATAATAAAGTGGTGTGTGTATAAATATATCTATAAGAAATTTATAAAGGATTTAAATCCACAGCAAATATTTCTTCAACAAAAAGGAAAAATAAACTGGTGCGATTACGGCACCGATTGCGCGAGAATAGAGGACCTTTTTCGCCTAATCGAGGTCGCCGAAAAATTCTACTAAAATCTCACCTGTTTCTTTGGTGGTGAAAGTTTGAATTCTTATTCCTAAGGCTGTTGTTGTCTCATATTCTTCATTCTAAGCTTCGATTCTCTCAAAACAGCGTACGCTTTGTATCTGGATCCTCTCTCCATGACGAAGCTCTCTATTGTTGTAGGTGCAAAATTTCGCTCAACTAATAATGATTGAGAAAAATAAAACACTAATAATGATTGAGAAAAATAAAACAACACACTCAAAAAACAATAAGAATAAATAAGAACAGTGTATAGAGAAGCGTAGAATTGCTTGATTCTTTTATTGGAGGTCTGAGCCTCTATTTATACATAAAAGGGTGATCGAATTAAGGTAGGACTCGCATTGCTTGTCCTCCAATTCTTCCTATACAGAGTTTCTTTACAAATAGAGCTTTTCCCTTGTATAACTTTCTATACGTATTACTTGCCTTGTACAGAACTTCCTATCTCAGAATTTTCCTTCTACAGTAAATCCTTCAACTGGTAGGACTTGTGCATTCTTGAATAACTGGGCTGAACATATTTTGATCCGGCTGGGCTTGAGTAACGGACCGGATGTTAAATATTAACAAGTTGGGCTGATGACCTCTTGATTCGGCCTTGATGGAGGTTGGAGGACAAATAACGATGGTCTTGGGCTGTAAATACCCTCAATTTGGGCTTGAGCATGATGGGCCTTATATGTCCTTGGAATGTAGATATGTATAGTGGTGACGTGTGCGCTTTTTATTGGAGGGAGTTTTTTTTCCCTCCACACTTTGCCCCAAATTTCATTTTTAATTGAGTGACGGCTCCTATTAAAGAGGGAATTGAAACCGGTTTTTTACTTTGCTTCAGAAACGGTTCGAGGTCTTTCATTATTACTCCGTCATACAAGATTTTGCAAGAGTTACATTTGCCCTTGCTGCACTTCTGCGTCCTTCATTCCATCGCTTTGTCAGGTTAGTTTCGCATCTTTCTCTTCAATCTTTCATTATGAGTACTTCATCTACTCCTGAACGTATAGACCTTGGGGATTCTGAATCCACACCTTCATCTTCCCCCGTTCGCATTAGGGCTCCCCCTCCTAGGGTTTCTACAGATCGACTTTCGTTGAATCCATTAGGTACTTCCCCTCTTCCAACCGAGACATCCACCTCAGGCTCTGATTATGTTCTTACTCATGAAGAGAAGAAATCAATCATCTCTATTCGCCGCATCAAGTTCTCTATTGCTTCGGTAATGGAAGAATTTGATATTCCTGAGGGAGTAGAGATTGCAGAATATCCCGAGGGTGCCGATTTTACCTCCGGCGAGGGAATTGAGGAGGATGAGTTGCTTCTTTCGGTAGGGCACTTTAACGCCATCCGATTCCCTCTTCATCCCTTCTATCATTTAGTTTTCAATAAGCTAGGTCTTGTCCCCCTTCAGGTAAATCCTAATTTCTTTCGCATCTTTTCGGCACTGTTGGTGCGCCGAAAATTAGAGGCTCTGGATTTGACCCTTGCCGACCTTCTGCTTACTTACAATATATCTAAGCATGGGACCGAGCCTGGTCGCTTCTTTTTTACTTCTCCCCTTCATCAGAGGATATGCACGAACCTTCCTTCATCTGAAAAGAAATGGAAAT